AAGGTCTCCCCGCGCAATCCGCGGTCTGAAGCATAGTGGTGGGCGAGACCCAGGATGCCATCAGATTTCATGTGCGTATCCTTACAGGTGCCAAAGCACTTCGGAATCAGAATCCTAGCACAAAGATTCTAGAGAAAGCGTTCTAGTTCAAGATCAAAGTCAGACTCCATGGTGTCGACCTGGATCAAAAGCTGCTTTGCAACCTCTAGGTCCCCAATCTTCACCGCATCATAAAAGGAGCCTCCAGTCGCCACAGTGCCGTCACCGTACCGGAATGTTATCCGATTGCCGACTTGGACGGCGTCGCAGGACTGGCCGATATCGAACTTTGCAGTGCCGGCTCTGCACTTCGAGCAGTTTTCGGCTGGAACCCACAAGTCCTTAGCTGTCTCGTGGCGGTGGGAACACTGGTCGCTAGAGAAACCAACCTCAACAAACCGGCCCCGGCTCGGGCGTAGAACAGAGGCCGTCGACGCAGCACTGGATTCATGCAGAAGCATCCCTCAGTTTAATCACACACCAAGACCATCATCATCAACAGCAGCTGCCACTACCGCCACAGCACCACCACCACCACCACCAACAACAACAACAACAACAACAACACCAGCAGCAGCAACAACTACTACGACTACGACTGTGGTTACCATTCAGTGTGCCGGGAATCTTGAACAGTTATTTGAGCAAGATTGCCAAGCAATCTTGCCCCACGTGCTCCACTTGCCCCACTTGGGAGGGCAAGATTGCACGCAAGCTTGGTCAATCTCGGTCTGAAGAGGTTAACTAGTCGGCGATCAAGTGGGGCAAAATGACCAAGATTGCTGGCAATCTTGCTGTTGGACCAAGATTGACCAAGATTGCAAGATGACCAAGATTGCCAAGACGGTCCCACAAAGTAATTGTTCTAAATTCCCGGCACTATGTACTAGTACAACTCTCTGCTACAGTTCTGCCACTGCCACGACCACTACGACGACCACTGCCACCTCTAGTTCTTCTTCCTCTTCTGTTCAGCACGACGGCACAGTATACTGCTGCGACGACGACATGACTGCTTCCACAACATTGGCGGAGAGTCGGAGCTGCCGGTGTCTGGAACGACCTGAAACTTTTGCCGTGTCTTGCCGGCACAGTCCACACCGACCTCGATCTCCACGTGGTACTGAACATTGTCCTCAGTGCTAGCTGCAAGCAGGAGTCGTGGTCGCCGCTAATTTTCGGAACACCGGGGCGGCTGAGAAAACCAGGCTGAATTACATTCGTTCCAGGCCAAGCTGCGTAATTTCCCAGGAGATTCGGATGTGAATCCGACGGTATGGTCAGGCGGCGGCCAAGAAGGGTCTGGGTAGATGGAGTGTGGATGAGAGGTAGAACGATTCTTTGCTCTTGATCCGGCACATCCGCACCTGATGCCCGAGAGGACGAGTATACTAGTGCAGGCATGCACATCGAGGAACAAACACATAAACATACTCGCCCAAGCAAGGCAAAACCAACGCCTTTACCCGGAGTGTACACCCGTACATGCTAATCAGACGAATCGCTAGGTCACTGCGAGTCGCATCAGAGAAGCAGTGGAAACAACCACCGTATCCACTAATGCCACAACGCCCCTCCCCTTGTCTGTATGTATGTATATATATATATATAAATATATATATTGTACATACAGACCCAGTAGACGCAGCGTAAGATGATGACATCTGCAGATTTCTCTTCACGTGCGGTAGTGCAGGTTTAACCATTACACCTTGCCTTGCGTAAGTTTCGTTACTACACTCACCACAGAAACTAGGACACTCAAACAGACAAATCAGGACAGTTCAATGCCAGCTCTATGCAGAGTTGTATAGCCTAAACAGGGTCGAGGTTGTATCGGGATTCTCTGCAGTCTGAAGCTCCCACGCATGTGACTCAAAGGTTCCTGCCACTTCCCTCAGACACTCCTACTTTTTGCATGTGTCTACATGAGCTCCGTCAAATCTTCATCGAACTTCCGGCCTGACAAGGCAAGCAGCCACACCGAGCTGCAAAGAAGCCACACCATTGGTGACTTCATCGTGTGTAGACTGAAGAAACCGATGGATTCGGTGTGATTGGCTGTGGTATGTGTGAGGTTGTTGGTGTTAACAAAGGGATTCAGTTGGCCGAATGTACCGCCTTTGAATCATCCCAGGCCTGTCACCCAGTAGTTCGGTAGATCTGTTGCCCAATAAGGCGAAAGGGCGCTGTCTCCATCTACTGTCTTATGAGTGGCGCTGTCGTCCCCCCAAAACAGGCCCCAAGCCACAAAAGCTGCATCAGGCACATGATGCAAGCTTTGACTGAGCAAAACTTCGAGGATGCCAGGGCATGGGGGGTACATTATGGGGGTACGTTGTCGTATATTTATCTGAGCACTATAAGTGCGTACTGAGGCATAGTGTTTTACTAATTATTTCGACCCTACATTGCTGCGCACAAATTTGGCGAAACAACCTGCACTCAGTAGACATGATGGAGCCTCTGCCACATATCCGGGCAGCACAGGCGAACCTGTGGTCAGTGCTTGATGCAGGGCTGCCAGCCTAGTTATGCTGCTATACCAAAGTTGCGGAGGGTTGAATTTCAAGTTCAGAAAGGACCACCATTCACAACGGATGACTGGTCAAAGATGACATTGAGCGCTACCTTGTCAACCAAGCTGTTTCGGGCCCGATCCCGATCCCACGTGAGCAGGCATAACACACCGCCCCGACGAATTACCCGGAAAACCGTTTGTTTGTTTGTTCGTTTGTTGCTTGTTTGTGTAGCTCAGAGAATTGCCGAGGTGTGCACTCGGAAGGTCCTGGATGAAGCCTCTGCCGCCTGAACATGGGCGATGCTCTGTGTGTGTGTGTGTGCGTGCGCTTGTCATGCAACTACGCAAGCATTGGCCGCATTTAAGAATCTGATGCACCTAGGCCTGGCTTTCGCAGTAACCATGTGTCTTTCTGCAGCTATCCCATCTCTCTTGAGCTGTGGCATTGGTTTTGCGATGAAGGCAGATCTCAGGCAAGAGCGGCATGTCCATCAGCATGGTTAAGCAGGCTCGCCATACCTGCCACAAGCAGCACGCGAAACCTCCGTGTAGACGACAGGAGCATCCTCTCCGAGCAAAACCCAGGTCACGGCCTCGGGGTGCTCACTTCGATAGGCTGCCAGAAGCGCATGTCCTGGACGTTGCGTGGCAACACATCGACATCTTCCCAGCACGGCTGCACGAGAGCCGAACCATAGGCATCCAGGTCTGGCCAACACAGGTCGCTTGCGACCTGGGTCAGGACAGGAGCTGGCTGCAGCGTGCAGTCCGGCTGAAGAGCGCCCAGTCTGTGTCTGTGTCACAATGACAATGGTGACTCAATCAGCGGAACGTGTCTGCCTCTGCACGCCACCTTCAACAAGCACGCACACATCGCGACTTGCTTTTCTGTCTGGGCCGCAAGCAGGAAGGAGGAGAAGCTGCAAACTCTGCTCCTCAGTCATGATGTGGTGCTGTGGCCGGCGTTTGTTCGACTTTGCCAGTTTGATCGCAGCAGCGTCTCGTCTCCGGACACAGCCAGACGCAGCGATTACGCAGCAGGAGTTCAACAGATGAGCTCTCCACCCACTGCCCGGATGTGGCCAGGGCACCAATTGCACCCAGTAAAGTTCCCTGCGCCGGTCGTACGGGGAAGGTCTCAGCGTGAATCTTGACGCGACATCGTAGGGAGCACAGGTGAAAGCCTGATCAGCAGCTCCGGTCTCCAGTGCTGATAAGCACCTCGCGTGACATGAGTTGGCACTAGGTCTAGGTAACTACGACAGATCCGGCAACTCGAAACTTCTCCAAATGAGACAATGAGCCTGCCTTACCTGCCTTGGGGTCCGAGAAACGAAATGATGACATGTGCAGTCTGATTCCCTCCAGTGCGACCAACTCCCGAACTTGCCGAGGTTTGCGCCATAGCAAAGCGAGCTCCTCGGACTGCATGCTACGGGAGTTGCAGCACCCTGACAAGAAGTCTACTTTCGATTCCCCTGTTCGCCTCGGAAACGAAAGTACCGAGCAAACGCAAACCTAAACCCCTGCACCCAGAACGGCGGCTTCCGAGGTACAGGCCCACTTGAATGTGCGATCCAGAGCAAGGATCCTGGCATCGGCGCTTGAGTTCAGCTGACATCACTCCTGCGGATTTTTGCATCGTACAGGCTGGAAAGATGTATTTTAGGAACTATAGAAATACATAGTTTTTGTAGTTTATACATGTATATAAGATGTCATGCATAACACGTCGTATACAGTATACTATACAGCATCTACCATGTAGTCTGTAATGGTGCCACGACTGAGCTCAGAAAAGACAGGGCGGAGGAACAATGCGTTGTAGGCAATGCTGTCCGGTTGCATCTTCATGGATGTCATCTCAGAGAACCTACAGTACAGTGAAATGTGACGCGAGCAAAAGACCCGCAGGACCGGTACTGCAAGTGCACGGTACAAGCACCGATCGGGAGAACATCAGACGCCTTCATGTCATGTAAGGACTGAGATAACGGCAAGGCAACAGCACGTTGCCATTCGAATCCTTTCTCGCCTTTGAGGCAAAGACAGATGTCCGATACAAGTAGTGGACTGGTGGAAACACTACTGAAAGTAACTGGAGCAAACAGGACGAACGAAGTGATTCTGGCCCGATCTGCGTTCCGACAGACTGTGCAGTCTCAAGAAGCTCAACACCCTGCATACAATGCATCAAAGACCATCAAAGGCTTGGGGCTCGCACAAGCACTGATAGCCGCGCAATACGTGAAGCTGTCGAAGTGCTGCCGGCTCAGGCTTTCGGCAAGCAGCCTTCGGATCAGGTGCATCATGCGTGGCTCAATATCGCTTGAAGTGTACATATATATACATATATATTGTAATAATATGTATGTGGGAGCTTGCTGAGTCGTGTGACAAGGGAAGTTCACGCCGTGCACCACACTGCGGCCACTTGAGCTCACTGCGCCAACGACAAATCCCAGCGAAGGCCCTGCAGAGCAGGGTGGCTGAAAAATGCAGAAAGATGAGCCTTTCCAGGCATGACAGGACTCAGCTGTAAGCCTGGCGAGCTCCGCAAGATGCAAAACACAGGGCTGCTGCATGCTTTGCAGCGCTACTTATGGTCATGTTAGTCTACCCAAAACCCACACCACCAGGCCTTTCCACAAGCGGTGATGGATGCTCTGTACAGGAGCTTGTCCGAATTGGCTGCAGAACCTGAGGGACCCCACCAAGCCGGGTACACTTGCATACCGCAGCCACCCAAGCGGCAAAAAGCTAGGATGGTAGCTCGAGAAGTCTATAGAATCGTGAACAAGTGGACGAAGACCAGCATCATTTTGAAGGGCCAGTACCGGCACAGAAACGTAAAATATGTTATGCAACTGCAGCGATGACGGAATCGGCCACAAGAAAACGAGAACCAGGCGCAGCAAGGAGAGGGCCACTTCCCATTCGCCGGACCTCGAGGGCTCTGACAAGTGTGCATGGATGGGGCGGCCGGAGAGTCGTACAAGTACCCAATTACTCTAAGCTAGGCCGGCTAGGCTGGGCAGATGCTGAGAAAGTCGATGTGCATCCGCAGTTGGATCCCCATCTCCCTGCAGCGGGGCCCGGGCTTCGCGCAAGCACCGATGGCTGGTGACGCGATCTTCGCATCGGCCGACAGGCGCCAGCGTCTGCGAACGGTGTGTCGCTGCCCAGAGTTGAGTTTAGCGAGTTCGTACATGAACCGCCGACAGCCTCAGCAACCGATTCTGATTGGGACAACGGTTTGAGTAAGACATAGTAAGACCACATATCGAAGCGACAGTTCAACGCACAGGACTGCTTGCTTGCTTGCCTTCGTCTTTAATGCGACGACGACGATCAACATGTATCCCCAACCTCAACTCTGACAGCAGCTCGATGGCTTGTTGCCATTCTGCAGCCTCCACAGCAGGGGGGCAGCTGAACGAGGTGCAAACAAGGCAGGGCTTTCCATTACTGTAGGGGCCTCAATCATTGGAAAAGGGTTTTGCTGCATATTATACTATAAAACAGGAACCCCAAAATAATATATGTAATTATTAGGGCCCCTATAGTATACACATATTTCTTCGGCTTGGATCTCGCGTTACAGAGAACTTGCAAAATGCAGCCCGGCCTCCTCGCATGCAGCGACTGCTGAGTGATACCTTGCGTTTGCTTCGGAAGAATTCCGCCGATTGCCATTGATCCCGTTCCATGGCTCGGCACTGTGAAAAAAGTCTGTTTCTGGCTTGTAGCAATCGAGACAGTCAGACACTGTGGACGCTGCGCGATGATGTCAAGATCTAGCTGTCCTTGGTCAGGCAAGCGGGGTTCAAGCTCGTTGTATGTCCTCGACTGCAACAGGCATCGGAATACCACCATACTCATGGTCTCAAGTGCCATTGGGAACCGACACCTAAACACGGCAGAAGGCATGCCGGTGTTGGTTGACGGGCCTTCCCGTGCTGTCCGGAGAACATGCAGCCCACGCTGCCACCTTGACGCCATCTGCCACGCTTCTGCCGGTGCTTCCCCGTGGATGGACATATAGAACTTCGGCTGTGTACCTACAAGATGCTAAGGTAGCTGCGCGCCGGCATTACCGCAAGCCCGGACGATGCTGCCTGAGCAACTGCGTCATCATTGACTGCTTTCACTGGCAGCTAAGCAAACGCCATCAGCCAAGGCGCTGATCGTCCTTGCTTCTGGCGCGGTTCTTGCATACCTTCCACCAACTCGACAAACTCAGGCAAACTGCTGAAGCAAACGCAAGGGTCCCTAAATCCCCAACCCCAAGTTTCGATGATGCAGAGCTCAGCAGGGCGGCCTCATATCACTCAAGAGCTCTAGCCTTGGCGTGCCAAAGCAGCTGGAGACTGTTCCCTGCGACGGCATTGCCAATCTTCATGTCATGCTAAAGGACACATCTAGGAATGTCTAGCAGACGATTTCGCAGTCTTCTCTGACTGGTCTTAACAAGACTTCTGCTGTCGCAAATCTCTCGGAGCCCAGCGCCAGAGGCCAGTTCGCACTGGAGCCTTGACAGTGTGCTCGAAGCTTGCTTTTGCTCTGTCTCTTTGATCCATTTTCCGCTCTTGGGATCTTGATACGGGTGGTCAGGGCTTTCAAGCAGCTAAGCTTACCTTTGCTGTAAGTCACACCCGACCTGATATTTCAAGCGTCTGGGGCCACCATCTGCACACAAAGACAGGACTTGGTCTTTGGCGCCTGGACACTGCAAACACTCCAAGCTGTCATAGTATAGTATAGTATTGTACAGTCTCGCCTGCACAGTGGAAAAGCTTGCATCCAAGCAGCTCACAGCATGGAAGGCAGCATTAAACGTGACGAGATTGGGGAGCATCTTGCTCCTCTGCCTCGGCTTCGATTCCGTGTATAAATGTATGTACATATACATACAGATAGATATACTTACTTAGGTACATATCTAGTGCCATATCGTGTTCATACATTCGCAGATGTTACTATTATTGTATTTGGGTTCAGCCGCACAGTGTCGCATCGAAGAGGCTACCAGTCGAAGAGCAGCCAAGCCCAGCACGCTTCACGAAGCAAGGAGATCGAGTTCTCCCACTGGCTGCCTTCCCCACCTCGTCCGCTGTGGCCCGGAACAGCGCGCTTGGGTGGACAGCAAACAAGATAATCAATGTGACGATGGCCGTTGATTGCACAACGATGCCGGCCTTCAGTGGCTAAAATCGTGAACCAGGATGGAATTGTTCGCGTATCCGTGGTCGCACAGACGACGATGATGATGATGGTGTTGCTGTCGACGATGACGAGAAACAACGAGGACACGGCTTTCTGTGATGAACACGATCAAGGTGGTGCTGGTGAGGGTGATTATGGTGATGTGGAGGATGGCGATGCACAACAACTGAAGATAGCGAATGGACGGCCCAGGGCAGTCGAACGTCTGAGAGGCGAGCACGCCAGGATCGCAGCACTGAGAACCATCAAGTCGGGAGTCAAACCTGCTGAAATGCCGAGTCTGTGAAGGCATCACGCGAAGGTTCAGCCATCCGTTCAGATCCTCGGCAAGCTAAACGGACGAAGAAAAACTGACCCAAGAGCGAGAGATACATACACAAATAGACAGATAGATGGATGAGAGATACGAAATGGAAAGATGGACAGCTACATTGTACGACAGAGAGATAGCTAGCTGGATAGGGAAAAAAAGAGAGATATATAAAGAGAGAGAGAGAGAGAGAGAGAGACAGGAGTTGTGGTGCTTCCCGGGAGCAGGAAAACCAAGTGCCTCGATCTCGTGTTTCATGAAGCAAGGCCATAGCACCCTCCTCAGAAACCAGAGGGCTGAACCTACTATAGGAGCCTTAGGCCCCCGTGCTTAGGAGCGGAGGGGGAGAAAATGTAGATTACAATTTTCACTCCCCCACCGATACGAATGTGTCAATTGTAGGATCCCATGTCTGGGTCCACGCTTTGCAGCTACCTCGTGCAAGGCAAGCCACACATGCCCCTGCTTATTTCTGCTGGACACGGACAGTGGCATTATGCGCCCCACCGCCCCCCATACTTGTAGCAAGCAGCCCGCAAAATAGTATATGTAATTATTTAGGCCCCTATATTACACTCTAAACCCTCAACCATGCTGGATCAGAGGAACGGGGTGTGCAAAGTCTCGTGTTCCGCATAGCTTCTGCTCCTGGCCATTAGCACACAACTATAAGCATGTATTATAGAACACCGTTTTCTGTTCTATTCTAGTATGCTATATTTGTACAACATCATGTCCCGTTGTGAGATACTCTACTAGAATAATATCGATGCAAGGCTGAGCTCAAAGCCCACTGCTGACCTTTAGCACAAGCGCTGATCGCCTGCCGGAAACTGAGATCGAGGCCCCAACACAGCGTCTAGGATGTAGCATGTCGGGTTAGGGTGTAAGACTTTGGATTTAAACTTTTTTAGTACCGTTCACTTCAAAACTGCAAGAGTTTTCAATACCAATTTCGGAGTAGGTTTGTTTTGAACACACCTTTTTCGCTTGCTGTGCCGGGCTTCAGGTACGAGTATTGGGGTCTTTGCTCATCAATCCAGGTCCCCTTCATGTGATAACAGCTGGCATCGTGGTGGGCAGCAGACTGGAAACTGCAAGCACTTCCTGAAACCAAGTGCAACCACTTTCCTTGTTGCCCCAACTTCCCCTGAACTGTCCACAACAGTTTGCACAAGCGCAAGTGGAATTATCGGCTCATATCCAACTGCGGCCAGCTCGCCGCGCTGAAGGTGAAAAGATTTGGCGGCACGGTGCTGTCGTGCCTGCAGCATGGGGCTTTGGCTCGAAGCCTTGAAATCAAGCTTATGGGTGCCAGTAGCAAGCCTTGCAGAGCGAAGTCGATACGAACCCCAGAAGGGAGCAGTTGTGACCCTTTCATCACACATCATCCCCAGATGCTCAGCACGCAACATATCTTCCAGAACACGTAGGCCACTCTGCCACTGACTGCCCTGGCAGAATGGAGAGCTTCATGCAACATCATCGCTCGCAGGCAGTGCCGCCGACGGAATGTGGGTGCAAGGCAAGCAATCCACTGAATCCAAGAATCTGGAATCTGTTCGGTGCAAAGCGGCCGCCCTGTCCTTGTTGCAGGCCGACACAGCCGTGCTGTACCTCTGCCAGCACAAAAAAGCGGCATCAACAGTACGAGTAGACCCACATCCTGCGACTGCTACAGGTCGCACACGATCACGTTGGACTCCAGGCCGCTCGTCTTAAGCTCGGCCAAGACATCCATGCAGGCTTCCTGAAGTCAACGTGAGCCACTGCTTCTCCCGGGATCGAGCGTTTCTTCATGGGAGTTGCAAATGTGTCAGGGCTGCCCAACGGCCAGCACGGCCGAGGGATGCCAGGATTGCGCCGTACCTGAGGCAGCAAGGCTCCGCCGCAGGATGGGGCTGGATGCTGCCGGCGCACGTGGCGATGTCTGGCTCGGGGCCGGCACGCTTCATCTCGCCCTCAAGATCGACTGCGCTGGCGATGTTTAGTTAACGTTTGGGAGGTCCCAAGGCTCCCGCGATCAGCCGACTTTGCAGCTTCCAGGCATCGTTGCGGCCGGAGCAGGCCTGCAGTGTGTTCGTGGTCGTCAGCGTGCAGCACCAACATTAAGACTACCAGCATGGCAACTCAATCGAGAAAAGTGCAGGAACAAGCTCTGCACCAACGACCTGCAGCACGCTGTTGCAGCAAACAGCATCGGGGAATGGCCCCTCCTGTTGCACAGAAATAGGAGAGCAACTGCCTGATTAGAACGACAAACTGCTGCTCATACCGATGCAATGAAGCTCCTGCCGCATGCCCTCCAGCAGCTTCAACACGACCTCTGCCCTGGGCATATACGAAGCAGACTTATCCCAACGTGGAGTCTGCGGAAGCTGCACGTTAGGTGCAACAACTATGGTAACTAATGGAATACGACACTCATTGAAATTGAACATCAGGACCCTGCTGGCGTGCCCGACCGCAAGCGGCTATAACCTCGGCCACTCTGGCGGGTTTTGATGCTCCTTTTCAGTTCATTCAAGTGCACGTCGGGACCTTGCGCCGTCACCACAAAAGGACGACCAGGTCAGAATCAATCGCAAGCTGCCCGAAAACCCTGCGTTTTGCCGGGCCAGGAGGACTTCACAAAGCCACCGGGTGCCGTACCGAGGTGCATTCTGCCACGTGAATCTGGCAACGCTCTTCGCCTCACTGCGTCGCAAGTCCCTCGACTACCGAAGTGGACCTAAGGAAGTGCAGCCCTGAACGGTGGATGCCAAACCACACTTGCAAAAGAGCACCAAACCAACTCCTCTCGCTGCTCCTTTGTTGCCTATATACGTCAACAGCCCTTTTCTGAGACCTTTGCGAGCCGCGGCAAGTGCATGCCTCAATAAAACACAGAGAATGTCATTGAGAAAAGCTTGTCGCTGGCTTTTGCGTGTCGACAGCTGCTCTGAGAAAGCCGCACTGCACCCTGCCAACCTGAACGATGCACAAAATCTCATGTTGGCGACCAAGGGTTCGATAAGTTCTGGTCAGAGTTCGCCTGCCCATATAGCCGGGTACTATAAGAGTTCCTATACTGGTATGATAAGGTTTACTATTTGGCTTTCTCTAAGTCCTACGAGGGATCTACAAGGAGTCTCTAGGCCAAGCCCACGAGTCTCGGATCCTGTCCTCGAGATGTGGCATGCTGCGGCGACCTGTGTTTGCTTCATAGAGCCCGCGGGCCTCCTTGCATGCCAGAAATGCGCGGCTGGCGGTGGGCCTGCCGACGATACATGACGATATACCATAGCACCAGTTCGGCAGTACAAGACATCAGCTACATACATGTAGGCATATGGTATGCATGCACGTGCCTGTGTGTGTATATATATATATAGATAGATACATAGACATAGATTCAGAGGTATACCATACATCCATCCATCCATCCATCCATCCATGCATGCATGCATTGTTGCATACATACACACATACACACACATACAGACGTACATACATACATACATACATACATACATACATACATACACACAGACATACATGCATGCATGCATGCATGCATTAACTACATACATACATACATACATACATACATAAATACATACAAACATACATGTGTACATACATACATACATACATACATACATGCATGCATACATACATACATACATACATGTTACTACTGTTACCATTGTTGTGGTTATTACTATTGTGAGAAGAAATACACAAGCATATTTATTGTAATATACAACGATACAGATACAGACACAAACAATATCGATATTACACATACATACATACATACATACATACAGACATACAGACATACAGACATACAGACATACAGACATACAGACATACAGACATACAAACATACATACATACATACATACATACATACATACATACATGCGTACGTACGTACGTATGTATGTACGTACGTGCCTACACATGGTCACATATGCACGCCCCGCATGTGTGTGTGTGTGTGTGTCTGTCTGTGTGTGTGCGTGTGTGTGTGTGTGTGTTTTATGTATACATATATATATATATACATAATGGTTATAGAACCTTGATGTGCCCGCCAATTCTTGGGGGTCCCAGTCCCAGCCTATTGAATACAGCCAAGCGCATGGGTAAGACGAGGGTTGCTGTGAGATTGGCTTGGCTTGGTTTGGCTTGGTCGGTTGGTTCTGAGCCTTCAATGCGGTGCTGGGGGAACTTAAAGGTACTGTAGATAGATAGGTAGGCAGACAGATCGTTAAGACAGATGCTGGATACATACAGCAATGCAAATCCCTGTTTCAAACGTTATGAAGAACCGATACTGCACCCTGCCTGGCGCAGCTTTGGAACCGTGGCCCATCGGTGCTCCAGGAGGGAGGCATCTACGACCAGTTCTTTTGTAGCAGATGTGGGCAGACTTTTTGCCTTCTTGCAAATAAATACAGAATTAATTATAATAAATATAAATATAAATAAATAAATGAATACATATATATATATATATGTTTTTGTATTGTATTGTATTGTATTGTATTGTATTGTATTGTATTGTATTGCACAATATATTATGTCAAGTTTATATCGTCTTATCTCGTATGATAATATACTTACACACTGTCCTAGTGTATATCATAGGGTAATTTGCAAACCCACAAACGAAAGCATCTTAACGATCCAGTTCTGGCTTCCACCAGTCACTTTCACAGTGCATGGACGCGAAGAAACCGAAGTACAAAGGAGTAAGCAAAATCCCACTGCAGTCGGCACCCGTGTACGTTTTTTTGCATGTTCATGTATGGAAGCATGGACGTAGAAGTCTTCTTGTTGTCTGGTTGACAGTACTGTGTTTTTTCTTGTATTGACTTGTACTGCATGCTGTACTTTCAAGCTTCTACATGGGTGTATGTATATTGTACAGCTTGAAAGCCATGTTAACGTGCCTTGGTTGAAACTTCTTGAGCCGAGGCTGTGCGGGGCATAGGTTTTTTTTGGCTTGGTTCCAGAATCAGAAAGAGCGGTTCGACGCAGCATGCTCTGTGCGGTGGGCTTAGGGTGCAAGGGTTGCGGATTATTGGGCAGTCCCGCCCCCCCCCCCCCTTCTCCCGCTTGCTGCATGGCTATTTTAAAGATTTGGAATTATGATCCGGGACCTGGGGCTTTACAAAAAATACATAAACAACGCATATCAGTTTGTGTACTACAAGAAGCAGATGAGGAACTGACGAAACAGCCGCTGCGCTGTGGTTCCTGTTACCGTCATCTCAAGGTTGAGGCGCCATCACGGCGAACTGTGAACGATGTCGGAGGTCGAAATGTGTGTGGACGCACAACCGTGGAACACTGCTTTTCCATGTCTCAGCTGCAGGCACACTTGAGTCCAATGCCGGCCCTGACAAAATCAGAAGCGACTTGAAGCAAACACGGGGCAACGAATCCGAGACCAGGCTTGCTACCGCACTGTCCGGTTTGCGAATCGGCACAAAGCACCCTCCTCGCCTCCGCCTCTAGTTGATCGAGCAAGGAGGTTCCAACTCGAAAGCGACCGGCATTCTCGCATGCCTCGGTTGCGAAAAGTCCAAAGTCAGGACCTCTGCGTATGCTGCAACCGGCATCACCAACCGCTTGCTAGGAGCCACGATGGATTGGGCGAAGTTGACTGCATCTGGCCTCACGGATACAATAACCGATTCTACGGCAGTGCTAGAAGGCCCAAAGCTCCCGGATCCTGGACCGGAAACACACGACGAGGCAGCTCAACAAGCTGGGGCCCGATCCGAAGCTCACAGGTCACCATGCTGCGCAGCAGCGACAGCGACACGTCCCAGCGGCAGGCCGAGATGATCGCTCCCATTGCGACTGCATCCACCTCCGGTAAGGCGATACAACCCGTCAGCCGGGTTCCCTACACTGGAATTGGCGATGATACTTTCAATGCGTGAAACACTCAGTGCGCTACCACAAGGGGGCTCTGCCATAGTTGCTCCCACAGCAGCAAAGCTGTCGCCCAGCATCCTTTGCACCCGATCGGCATGCGAAGGCACTTTCCTTCTCGGTTCGTGCCGGTCCCGCGGTCCTGCGAGGCCGCATGCGCGCATGGCGCTGCTGTAGGTTTCCTGAGCTGAGAGGGCAAAGGAGCGTTATGAGACTTAGACTTGGATAGATTTCGACATAGTGCTGACATCCCATGCTGCACGGCAAAACCAGCATGCAGGGGCACCAAGTGGCCGTACCCTTCCCAAACCGGCTACTCATGCCCCTTCAGATGGAAGCAGAGGTGAGCCGAATGCACCGCTACACAGACCTGGCTTGAAGCTTGTAGGGCAAAAGACGTGATGATGCCTCGTAACCTGCAATTTTGGCGAGTGTCCGTCTGCAGTTGTACCTGCTCTTGATGCATGTCGCTAAGGAGCTGCAGAACGCCTGCCTCGGCACCGGGTCTGAGAGGAATCTCTCGGGCTAAAGCTTTGCAAGGGGCCCAGGCCCATCCTTCTGATGTCTGCGTAAAGGCATCCACTGCAGCGTTGTAGCCTGGGCTCAAATGCTCAGCCAACACCTTTGACATGCTGGCATGTGCCTGCATGAATGAAACTCCCCTGAGCTGCCGACTGAAGATATTTGGCTGTATGTGCGCCTGCATGGACAAGAGGATTTCCGAAGGGATTCGCCGCTTGAGACACTGGAAACCAAATTGATGGAAGGTGTGCAAGTTTCGATTTTTGCGAGCTGAATAACTCTGAACTGCGAGAGCAAAAATCTCACCCTGAACCATCTATTATCATGTTGTGCTTTCCCGAGGTCTACATTACAGAGAATCGCAAAAAACCCCGAGTTACAGCAAAGGCGCTCGCTTCATTTCGGCCAGAAGCTGAATGGCTCGCTGCCATTGCCCAGCACTGGCACAAGCGCTCATGCTCGTGCTGAAGGCGATCAAGTCCGGAAGCAGCACTGCCTTTCCCATCACATCTGCAGAACTTTGGATTGGCAGGTCCATCTCGGGAAATGAGACTTTGCCTTGCTGACCTACTTAGTTGCCGTGGTTTCACTGTGCGGACGTGCATAGGCTACGTGACAGCTGGCCAAGTAGCATTGCACATTTGCTGTAGGATCTCCAAGGCGGGCACCCACCTGTCAGCTGTGTTGCGCCTTACTACGTGTTCACGATCTAGTAGCAGTTTTAGCATAGGTGTTGAGCGACATAGCATAAAATTATAGCACGTCGTGTTGCAGTCAACAGCTTGTGCAAACAAGGAGTGGCTTTGGTTCGTGCTGAAAAGTACACAACCCAAGCAGGACATTCAGTTCCCTTCCCGTGTGATCGCCAAGACACTGTGCGCCTCTCTCGCACGCGCTGATCACGGCACTGCAGCTGACGACATTTGGCAATACCTTTGTGCCTGCGACGAGCAGTGCAACAAAATGCCTTCCATGCGTCGTGATGTCAACAAGAAAACAACTCTACTCCCTCTACTCTCTACACTCGTCATCCGAGCTATGGCAATGTTCGGAGATGATGCATGCATGATATGTCCGCTCCTTGCATGTCCAAAAGCATCTGCAGTGATCTCTCCCACTGCCCACTCGCGCACGCATTGATCGCTGCTCCATATACCTTGTTTTGGGTGCTTCGGCTTGACAACAGGAGGTTAGCGGCTTCACTGCCAATACCAGCATTCTTATGCAACTTGCCTTCAAGAAGCCACGACGTTGGGCTGTATGCGGGTCCGGGCCATCTCAGCCATCACGGCCAGTGCTTGCTGCCAGCTCGTGCTCCTGCACTGCACTGTGGAGTGAGTGATTTCATCTCGGTCGGCAAAGCAGCTATGAAATTGCGCTGGCCACTGCAGGCCAAGGATACCCTGCTGTGAACTGCGAACAACATAGCTGTTGGCTACATGTTGAGGCGAGCATTGGCATAGACCAAATAGATGCCCCAATGTGACATTGCAAACTGACAACGTGTCTCGGTGTTCCTGGAGCAAGCGTTGACCACGGTACCCCAGCTGGCAAGATCCGGACATGGGCCTTCCGAGTGCAGGTGCTGCCATCAGGCAGACTGCGGTGAGACATGATTTCTCTCGCGCCAGGAAATTTTCCTGCAAAGGCCATGCCTTTGGCCACCATTTTTGCCAAAACAGCCAGGGGGAGTTCCCACCGACTGCTCGATGAGCAAGCTTGCAAGACGTTGTTGAAGAAGAATGTGTCCAAGTCCTGGATCAACGACGTTTTCAAGAGGAGCTCAATGCCATTGGAGCAGGAGCGGGAAGTCTTAGCTTTTTTATGTAGGGAATCCTCAAGCCTTTAGGAGGAAGTCAATATTCGTGAGCGCCCTCGCTGTAGGACCAGGGAAGGAAGGTATGAGGACGAGAGTACTGACGACAAAACAGCGACGACAGCCTGACTCAAGTTGAACGGGCTCGGTAAATCGAAAACCCGAAGCCCCGGTGCAGCTAGAATCAATCTACGAAACCTTACAAGGCCGTTCTAAACCGCTAAGCAACACCCTAGTCTACTTCCACTCCCTATTGTAGTAATCCTTGTTTTAGTAATGCTATTCTGCTAATTCCCATAGTAGCCTTACTACAACAACATATAATCACCATCATAAAAACAGTCTGGCAACCCCTTATCGTAACCCTATTCACCCTGAACCTGCAGTAACATTGCCCGCAAACCCTGAATCCTTTGCGTTTACTATACTGACGGGACTATAGCACTACCATAACAATTACTACGCTATTGCAAAACATGACTGTAACAATATTACTGTTATACTACTATAATCTGACAATCATGACGACAACTACCATACAAACCCCAAACCCCTTTCAGCACAGACTGAGGTGCCGGCCAGCGCCTACGCAACCCTAAACCCCCTCTACATCCTAAACCCTTAGACCCTAACTAAATCCTCAACCCCCAAACCCTAAAGCCCCAAACCCCAATTTTTCACCCCTAAACCCCAAAGCCTAAATGCCTTAAGCCCTAAACCCCTAAACCCCGAAATCCCCAAAAACCCTTCTAGGAACCCTTGCATATAAAGAACCTTACACTATACCCTTTAAAGGGAACCAAGAGTCCATAGTAACCCTTACACTTAAAGAACCTTACACTATACCCTTTAAAGGGAACCAAGAGTCCACATCTCGACTCTGCAGGGTCTCGGCGAAGGCCCAAGCCGCCTCCGTCGCCTTGGCTCTGCCCATCGCGGCTGCCTCAAAGGGGAGTTTCAGAATTTAGGCTCTTAGCGGTTTCGACTCACACATAGGGTTTTAGGGGTTTTGGGAGATTCCGGGGTTTAGGGGTTTAGGGTTCTAGGGGTTTTAGGGTTTAGGGTTCTGGGTATTTTAGGGGTTTAGGACTAGGATTTGGGGGTTTAGGGGTTTGTGGTTTCGAGAGGTTTTCTGCAAGGACTTTGAGAATTCTGGAGGGCTGGGTGTTATGGGAAGTTTACGAGGAGGTATAGAAACTATGAGTACGTCACCTGGTGTTGTTGACCTTGCATCTGAAACTCCCACACGCTGGGACTTAGACTTGGCTTTCGTTGAGGCTCTTGTGGAAGGTAATCCTCATCGCAAAGATGGCCATCAGAATATGAAAGAATACGACTCAGAATGAACATGGGTGGTTGTCAAAATTATGGTCCCTTTTTGGGTCCTTATTATAATACGGCACCTATTATTTAGGGCACCCCAAAAGGGACCCTAATTTTGACAACTACCCACATAGTTGCTAATCACATTCGCACTTGCGTCGTCCAGTCACTGCAGCAGCCACGGCCACAGCGAACAGTATGAAGACAACTAATCATAGGCTTAGCAGGTTCAGGGAAGCGCTCTTACCAAAGTCAAAGGCTCCGGTAGGTTGATTCATCCGGCTCTGATGCTGTCACTTCGCACAAGTCCGAGGGGCCACTGCCGTGCAGAATTTGATCCCTGGAACTTCGCCATTCGCCCATGTGTCGAAAAACCTGACGGCCAAACGCGTGCCGTACTATGTTGGGGATCCAAAAAGGGACCCTAGTTTAGAGAACTACCCATATACTTTTCACAAACTTACTTGAGTAGGCCTCCTCTGTAAGCTACCGGCTCCAAATTGGCATCCGCATAGACATTTGCATGTGAGCTTGACTGTTACATACGCACATGCACAGTATATATCGTAGACTCACTTCTAGCCGGAACACCCCGAACCCAAAAGCCCTACACTCCACAACCTGGAATCTAAATACTTACCAATACTATTTGGTGGTTCCTTATCATAATATAATAATATACCCCCATATCCCTATTCTAATTATTGAGGCCCCTACATAACGAAGTTCTCTTCCCTTGACGGATGGGGGTTCCTCTGCAGCTCCTCCTGCCAGGTCGGTCGGCTCCGACCGACTGAGCGCACCTTCGGATGGTTTAGGGTTTAGGTTGGGTACTGCCCCCATACAGTAACAGTCTATAATAGGACTACTATTAAGGGCCTAATATATCCATAATATAAATATTATCCAACTGTTACTGAGTGGGGGCAGTACCCAAGGTTTAGGGGTTTAGGCTACGCAACTAGACCCTAAACCGCTGCACCCCAAACCCTAAATCGTACACCGATACCGATCACGAGCAATCATAGCTTTTTTCTGGGGGTGAACGTGGGAAAGGGAAACCGCATTATGTAGGGGCCTCAATAATTAGAATAGGGATATGGGGGTTACGGCTTATATTATGATAAGGAACCCCCAAATAGTATTGGTAAGTATTTAGACCCCTACATTAATTCTATTTGTTCGTCATCCTTAAGGACCGAAGATCCTGCTTGACCCTGCAGCTCCTGAAACCTCTAAGAATGGTTATGCTGCGAAACACAGGCCCCAGGGCCGTTGCTTCTGTAGGATTTTGCCGGATCACCGTCATTATTAAGGGCGCTGTGCACTTTGTTTTTTGGGTTTTTTCCGATTTTGGTTCAGAGTTTCAGAATGCTACAAATGCTAAATAGATTGTTGTCGTGGTGATGCCAGTGGTGATGACCGCAGAAACTGTGCCAGAAAGACCTGTGACAATCGTCATGATATCAATGCCAGCAGTGACGCTACTGAGCGGTGGCTTTGCCTGTCACATCTCGTCTCCCCTTGAGGTCTAAAAATCAACGGTCGTTCAGTCTTTGACAATCCAAGCCTGGATGGCAAAAATGAGCCACAGAAGCGTCAATCGGGAGTCCACTTGAAGCCCTGGTCTCAGAAACCAACAGTTGCCGGGCGCCTGTGGCAAAGGCAAAGCCTTGCATGCTGACAGCTCGGCCATGTCATGGCCAAAGCCCAAGTTCGCGAATTCCAGGGTCCATTGCGAGTTGCGGTGTGCAGTGACGAGTCTGTATGAGCTAGGATCACACTATGGGTAGTTTTCTAAATAAGGGTCCTTTTGGGAGTCCTTTTTATAAGGGTGCCATACTATATTGGGGACCCAAGACGGGACCCTAATTTGGAGAACTACCCCTATAGCCTTCGCCTATGGTCTGTTTCCTGCGTGCCAGACTGCTATCGACTGCAGCTTCAGCAGGGATTGCCCTCCCGCCTTGCTGCCGGAGGTGGTAATGCAGGGGACTTAATTATTAGAATAGGGTTTTGGGGCCATTATACTATAATTATAATAAGGAACCCCCCAAATAATGTAGGTAATCATTTAGGCCCCTACATTGATTATCAGGAATTAACGACTGCAAGCCGATCTCGCACCACAAGAAACAACCTGATCAACACCTGTGCTTAATGGTCAGGACATCGGCAAGGTGGTACTCTTTTCTTGACGGCGCGACGTCTGATCGGCTTCGGCCCACCACTCCCCATTTCACGTAGCTTTGGCAGCTTCTTCAGCTGCCTTGGACAGGAATCATAGACATGGGCATTTCCGAAAACAAGGATACCTTATTTGGGGGTCCTTATAATAAGGATCCTACTATTTTGGGTATTATGTTAGGGTCCCCTATTTTCGGAAGCCCCCACATGGGATGCCTGCAGGAGTCACCGAACATGCTTCCACGGCGCAAGTGTGCTGACTTGATCAGGGCGGTTGTCAGTGCCTGTGGGGGGTTTGGTATCGGCTACCGGCTACCAACTGCAACGGCTCTGGCACTAAAGCTGCATTTCCCAAGAACCGCTCGTAGCGATTACTGTTGACTTCCCATGGTTCCATCTGCCAATCTTGGCCATCGCACACATTCGCCTTCTGCCGTGAACAATGGGCAGCGACGGCAGGACTAGTAGGTGCCCGCGAAGCCCTTTCACAAAGGACTTTGCTGCTGAGTACTTGAGAGAAATGGCCAGCGAGTCAGCGCTGCTTCGATCTTCTTCTACTTTTTCTAGCATACCATACTATAAGATGAAGCAAATAAGTATATGTATATATCTATATATATATATATACACACATACAGTACATACACATGCACATATGAATAATGATGCAATATACAATGGCTTCTAAGTTCTCTCCGGCAACCGTTTCGCAGCATAAAAGGGCACTCTGACCCCTTTCGCATCCTCTGCGTGGCCAGGGGCACCAACCGCGATTTTGGCAACTTACTCGGCCAGTCAGGCCGAGATGATAGTGTGACAAAGGGAAACGATGTCAAACCAGGTATCAGGAATCCCTCGATTTCTGAACTTTGCTTACGTCGGGGCTTACGGCTCTAACTTTTTCCTATCATGTCATGTCGTCGAGACATTCAGGGGTTACGTTGAGGTAGCCTGTTGTTGCACTGAGCACCCGCGTGCAACTTGTGTGCGCAGCTTCTGGCGAGTGCTCTCATAGGTTGCTTCAGCCAGGAAGCCCTATTGCTGCTGAGCCCCTTTGCAAAAAAAGCAACTTTGCTTGTGTACACGGCATGGGCCAATAAGCTTGCCAGGTCCATGCCAAAGGTAATTATAGTGAAATGGGGCGGGGTCTGGAACCGAATTGCATCACAACTACAACAGCAAACCTCCAGTTTGTGGGCGAAGCTTGTGGAGAGGGCCATGGTCGTGTTTACCCCCGCTGCCACTAGTTTCGGCCACATACCCCGAAGTACTTCGTGCCGCGAAGCCGGCCTGTCACAGCTAGACTAAGCCTGATCTCCGCACGTATAACTCGTTGTCATCTAACGTTTTCAGAAACGCTGCCTGGCCCTGATGTATCGTGGCACGTCGCTGCAGCAAAAGGTGCGAAAAGCGCTTGGCTTTGCCAGGTTCGCACGGGAAACCTAAGGATCCTACTGGATGGTCTTGAAACGGGCAACTCCTGCTGCCCGTCGCGAAGACCACCCCTATGCTGATTCGATCCAAACAGTTTGTAGGGAAGAAAGGGAAGTTCCTTCGGGTAAAGAAAGCTCCTTTAAACAAAGGCCTTTCGGCATGGCGCACGAAACTTCCGTCCATCCCCGCAGAGTATGTCGACTAAAGGCTTTATATTAACAACATGAGGTCGATTCGAGTCTCGCATGAGCTTCGGATCTTCTTCAACACTCGGATCAGCCTCATCACTACATCGCCACTGCAGTATAATCGGCGAAAAAATCCATTGGCACAATGGGTGCTCTACAAGCCGAGCAGCCCGTCTAAGCTAACAGGCGCTAGGAAGTGTAAGCACCAGTTCAGGCCAGAGGCTTTCTGGGTCCTTGCCGACAAGTGTCATCACCTGGCGACATTCTGCTAGCTGAACCCATGCAAAGCGTTATTCATGATGCGTTGGAGGTTGCAAAAAAGGCCTTGCAGCTCTCGAGGCCCACCGTGAAATGTAGGCAGACCCACAGCGCGGCTACAAGAGTTGTAGGTATTGCTCAGTAGTGGCGCAGCTGGACACAACTGCTGCCCAAGAGACATCGACAGGCTCTCGCATCCAATCATTATAGCTGGTGAAGGTCTTTTGACAAGGGCCAGCATTGTCTCATAGACGCACGGTCTTGTGAAGACATGCCCGAGATGGCCACATCTGCACCACGGTGCCAGCGCCCAGCCCTCCGGACCTGAGTTGCGGAAGCTGAAACCTTCAAGTCCTCCTGCCCGGCCCAAGCCGCTATGATCGAAATCTGTAGCGGCTATAGTATAGCTGCGACAGTGATTGATCTCGCCAGATATCAGGAACAGGAACAAGGCTGCTTGATTGGGAGTCCGGCTCGGGTCCTCCGTGAACATGAGTGCCTGGATCGCAGGGGGGGAAGCGCACTCTTCACCACCAAAGATGAAGTGCTTAGGGAGGGTAGGGCTGAGGGTTTCAGCTGATTGCCGGAAACCCATTGCAAGGGAGCCTGTGTAGCTGCTGATGTCGTCATGAAGGCGAACCGTATCAGCCTCCGTAGCTTGCACCTTGTGGTGGCGAATGTCGTGGTGGAGAGCTTCCGACTATTGATATTCTTGAAGAGCTGTCTGAGCAATTGAAAATCCGCCATCGTAGCATGTACCGACATCTGGACGGGAGTGGGCCCTGCCAGTGAAACGAACAAGCCATACTGCTTCTGCTACTGTTTCTACACTGACTTGCTACTGAGTACTAGGTATGAAGCGCGAAGTACTCAGGGCGACCAGGACGACTACGACTACTACCATCACTACGACTGCTCCTCCACATGTACCGCTACTACTGTTGGCACGACGGCGACTTCATCATGCAGGTGACGGGAAGGATTACCACACTCGGCTTGTATCTGCCAGGTCTGTGCTACTAACCCGCTAGGCGGACAATAGTTTCGGAAAGCTAAGGCCTATACGAAAGGACCATGACAAAAGGCAATGGCTCGGCGAATGTCACCTCGGCACAGCCAAACTTTGGGATCCAATGATCTTCGTCAACGCAGACACCAAGGTCGGTTGCTCTGTTCGTCTTGCATCATGGCATTGTATGCCGTCCGGGTATGCTTTTCTATTTCTTCTCAGTGCTTCGTGCTCACTCGCGGTAAAGCCAGGCACGCCACTTTCCGAGACTTTCTTTCTCACAGCCGCATCGATCAAAGCAGCCTGCCACAAAGAGAGACCTTGCACTGCGAGCAATAGGCTCTCGTCGTCCGGCGCCTCGAAGTCTTCAAATTTGAGTCGGCGCTGCCCCTTTGGAAGCACCTCCGAAAAAAGCGGAGGATTCGTTGCTTCCCTTGCTCGTGTCCTTTCCTGCCCTATCAGCTCAACCCGACCTTCACAAACAGGAGATCGGCATCCAACGCTGTAAACCTGGCACTGGGACACCACCAGCGAGTACATCTGACGTCATGAAATGGCAATAGAGCTCTCGAGAATACTATACCACCAATAAGAATATGGAGCGCCAAAAATAGTGTTGGCAATTGTGTGCCCTGTTTAGGTCACCAAAATAGTACTGCATCGTTATAGAAGGGACCTAAAAGGGACCCTGCTTTAGAGCATGACCTGTTTATTCAAGTCCCTTCCGAACTTGGATTTCGCCTGCTGCTCAGAAGCCGGCAGTCGCGGCCTCGGGCTCGGTTGCACGGGATTCAAAAACCTATGGTTTAGGTGGGGTCTTTATAATTAGAATAGGGCTTTGGAGGCTCCTTATTCTAATTCTAGTATAGTATAGTATACCACCAAGCCCTATTCTAATCATTAAGGCCCCTATATTAGAGGTTGAAGAGTTTAGAGCCTTGAGCCTCGCGGTTTTGGTGACCCAGAAGCAGCGGGCCTCTTTCTAAGGCCGCGGCACAACCGCAAGAAGTCTCGATTGCTCATGTCTGGCTTCCCCTGCACTGAAACCACAACTATCCAAGCTTGTCTTGGTCCGTGTTTTCGCAACTGTCGCAACGTAATTACGGTGGGAATTGAACTCTTCTTCCTCTGCTTGAGCACTCCACCCCTCTTGACTGTCGTCCTCACTCCAGGCTTCCAGTCCCACCCGCCCCCAGCACCCTCCCACCCCTGGTGGACATACAGCGCAAGTGGGAAGCAGCGTGAATCCAAAGTCCGAACCTGAAGAAGCCATAAACGTCCGACGTTCGACCACTTGGCCAATTCACAGTAGTTCGATAGTTTGATCGGTTCCGGATGCTTTCAACAAAGCTCTGCCCGCGCACCCAGCAGAAGTTGACGAAGCTGTCGAGCAGCAACCTCGGCAGCGCCATGCATCCTGATGCAAACCGAGCTATGCCTACCGAAACCCTAAACCCTAAACCCTAAACCCTAAACTGTCCCCTGAGGAGTGGACTCCCGCTCTGCCTTGTCAACTCCAAGACCTTCCAGAGCCGAGGCGGGGGTACATTATACTATAATTATAATGAAGAACCCCCAAAACGAAACCCTAGGTATATTATATACTATACTATAATGATAGTAAGGAACCCCCAAACAGGGGCCTTAATAATTAGAATAGGGTCTTAAGCCCATTATTCTATAGTTATAATAAGGAACTCCCCAAAACCCCAATTATGAAGGCCCCTACATTCGACTTGGAGAAGATCGGGCAGAAAAAGGGCCCAGGCTGTGTCGTTTGACACCGGGGAGGTAGCCGTTGTCCAGCGGATAGAACCAGCCCTGGCAGCACGCAACAAACTGAGAGCCTTACAATCATAGTACGAGGGTTCTTTATTACAATTATAGCATGGGGTTCTTTATTCTAATTATAGTACAATATCTGCCACGAAGTCGCTCTACTCCATGACTGAGCTTCCTTCTCAAAGCACAACCCAAGACCCTAAGATCTTCTCAGAGGTTTTGTCGACCTCCTATGATGCCTATGTCATGCTGTCGAACCAGGCTCCAAGAACGTGAAAAAATGAGAAGTCCCATTCGCGCTGCCTCGCGGGAGGAAGGTCCCCGAGAATCGCTGGGAGGCGAACTTTGCGCACGGCTGCGTGGCCTCCAGGCTGGGGAGTGAACTTCTGCTTTTGAACCGGTTCCTTGCTCTGACTTTGGAGGGACTGCTTTTCCCGTAAGAAGGGGCCCATGGTCATTGAATGACGCTTAGATTCAATCGTTCTATTACATCCTGCGAAGTGCAAACGCTCTTCTGAGGCTCTGGCACAGCTTCTGGCAGAGTTGTGGCGCCTGGTCAGGCAACTTGTGCCACAGCCAAAACGCGCCACGCGCAAGCAGCTGTGTTGCTGTATGAGGCCGCATATGGCGACGAACACCTAAAGCCTCCAGACCATGCAAAAACACATTCCAGGACCCTCCAAGTACACTCAATTTGCGCGCATCGAAGGAAGCCCGAGCCCAAGGATGCGCCTGCGAGCTCCTGTCGTCGCTCCACAGAGCCCTCGGTGCTCCTTAGAACCATGATCTAATAGTCTTATAATAAAGGAACCATGATAAAATAGTCTTTGTATTCATGGTATATAGTACTGAGATCATGATCTTGTCATCCTGATTTAATCATGATAGTACTGGTTGTAAGAAGACTAGAGGTGTTAGCCTCAGTAGTTGTATTGCTAACAGCCATTGCGTGGTACCAGCACCGGCATGCTTGGGTGCGCTCAGTGTTGGGCTCCGAGCTAGCATGATGGGAAAGACAAATGGGAGTTTCCGAAAATTAGGGTACCACATCGGGCTTTAAGTCGGAGACGGTGCAGCCATCTTCTTGACCTGCAGGTTTCCAGACTGCGGAGCATCTGGCTCGGGGGAACTGTAGGACCTGCCTTGCCTTGGAGAACACGGAGTCCAAGGACAGGCGCTTTCGATCTGCGAGGAGCCTCTCACTCAAATGGCTTTGAGTGCCACGGATGCGTAGAGGATAAGCACGAGACAAAAAAAGCATATCCGGTTAGAGGTGAGCTGCGCTTTTTTGATGGGGCCTTCGGCCTTCTTGCTGCCCCCACTCGCCTCAAGGCAGCCTCGAACTGTCCGGAGCTCAGTCGCCGTGGGCCCCGAGCCCTGCACGCGCACGCGTGGGGCTTCTTCACAGACCGAAGAAGTGGTGCTGAGATCCCCACGTAATGGTTGTGAACAGCAGATCCGCATCCGCTGTGGTGAACCTGGGCTGCATTCCATGAAGCCCCTGCCGCCTGAGCTTCGCCAAGGCTGCGGCTTGGCATCGATGTAGCCTGCCTCGCGGCAGAACTTGTCGAACTGGCGGCTGTCCATGCCTGGAAACATATGCATGGTGGTGATGACCGTCATCCTTCTGAACGCACGAGCAGGACGCGGTCCTCCCTCGTGCTAAGCTCAAAGCCGCACTGCCGAACAGCTGGTACTGATGTCTGCTGTCAGCTTCTGCCATGGCCACCGTTGCTGTTGCTGATTATGAACATGAGCGACAAGAGAATGCGTCCCCGAAGCCAGTTCAAGGGTTGTCGGCGACCATCAGTTGCACCAGCTACAGCTAGAAGCATCACCGGCACCATCAGCATAGTGATCTGCACCGGCATGCACACCATGAGCATGATCGTCGCCATTTCTCAGCATTCTCATCCTGGCTCAAACCTGACGGCTCCTCTACTCTTCCTGCTCCTGAATATCATCATGACGGCAGCACTCTCGGTATTTTCCGAAGTCCCAGTCGCACTGATCTGAGGTGGGGGCGACTCGAGGAGCAAATCCTCAAGAAGGCCTCCTGGGATTCGCTGAGCGTCATGACCCCGTAAGCACAGAAGTCCGCATGTCATGAACGGCTTTCCAGAGTTTATCAAGTTGCAAAAGACAGTCATGGACGCGATGTGCTCAACGATGACTGGACAAGTCCACCGCATCTCCCTTCTGCACTTGCCATATCTTGCCATGCACACCAGTTCGGAAGCTGCTCGCAGACCCCCCGAACCCCTGCAGTAACATTTACATTACATTAACCACAGTATTCTGAATTAACACATGTTATAACATGTCCTCTTATATTGTAGCATGCTATACTATATCAGATTGTATTGAAGTATATACTCAATATTTCAGTGTTCATCCCGGAGCAGACCTGGAGACCAGGGACTTCCTCGCTGGGCGGAAGGGAGGCCTGACGAGAGGCCCGGAACTTTCTCGCGCTTTGCACTTTGTGGGGTTTAGGGGGTTTAGGGGTTTAGAGTTTAGGGGTTTAGGTTCGGTTTAGGGCCTAGGTTTGCTTTGTTGACACCTTTTTTTCGATTGCTAGTTACTGCTAGTTTGCTTAGGATTCTGGAATAGGGTCCATAGGGTCTCCCTGAAAGGGTGTTCCGGGGTTCTACAGCAGGGTCGTGTTTTGGGGGTGTAAACCGGGCGCAAGGCTTGGGCTTTGAGGCTTTGAGCTCGAGACGGGGGCGCTGCGCCGTTTCGAAAAAACAGTTACAAGCTGCTCAGCGGGCATTACCGAGGTTTGACACTTCACTTCACAGCACGCTCAAAACAGCTTGAGCAAAAATTACGGCGCTTGAGACAAAGAATGACAAAGATAACGGCGACGTCGGCCCGGCGAACGACGGCTTCTGAGCACACCCTAAACCGAACATCTTGGGATTGGTGGCCGCTTTTGCTAACAAGGTCGTGTGCTGCCTCAGAGCCGCTGCGCCCACTGCTTCGTCTTCGCCGGGGCCTGGTACGAGGCTGCATAACAAGCGACACATCATCACTGATGCTTCGTGTTCTCAACAGACCTCGGACCATAAATCTTCACCTTTTGGAAACAACACAAACCGCGAAGAATGACATAGCAGCCATTGTACGGCGACTCTCGTACTGGCCATGATGCTTGGGATCCTTGCAACTTGATTCCTCGGTCACTCCGCCTCCTTGCCCTTGAAGCACTGCAAGGTCTTACGCATGGAGCCGGACGAACGAAGAGACTTGCGAGATTTCGATTGCTTGTAGGACGTCTTGACCATAGCACAGGCAGTGCGATCGCACAGCACGGAGATGCGACACTGTGTCCCGAAACACTATGAGAGCCAAACCGCTACGAGGTCATGTTTCCGTATCTTTCGGGTTAAGCCATTGCCCAAAGCACTGCTGTGCCCATGCAGGCCTTGGCGCGGCGAAGGGCGATGGGCTACGCTTCGATGGATCCACCTGCTCGCATTGGCAAGATTTACACATCACGAGGCTTTGGCTCAGCTGTCAGCAAAAAATGACTCTGTCCATATGTTGCATGCCCACTTTGAACCTGACAACACTGGTCACTAATTTCTGATATGCTCTGATCAACTGTTGCATGCAAAAAGCTCGAACTCGCAGCGAGCCTTGTCGGAACGGGGCCACGTGAGCGTTGGCGCAACTGCCGTGCCCCAGCCTGCAATCGTCCGAAGCAGAGTGGTCACGCCAGTTGCAGTATACCAGACAGAAAAGCAAACGCCTGCTTCCGTTGTACCGTTCATTCTGTGCCTTCTCCTCTTGCTCTCTGCTCCTCTCTCCCTGTCTCTGGGAATGCTGCGCCCTCGCAGCCCATGCTCTTTGCCATGAGGCTTCGAAGCCTGGGCGGGCGGGTCACATCCCCCCGAGCTCGTCTCGCTTGTTGCTTATACATGGAAGATGAGGATGATGACGGCGGCGGTGATGACAGCTGGTGATAATCAAACCCGGTGACTTTGTAAAGCAAGCTGTCAATATCACGATGATGAGCATCGAATCAGTTGGCGATCATCTGCTTTTGACAGCAAAGCCTCAAACACGGAGTGTATTTGGGTTATATAAGTGAGACTTTCTGCGACATGCTTGGGGAATCCTCCCTAAACCCTGTCCTGGGCACCCTGCCGCGCGGCGAGGCAGCACCGCCTCGCTGCGCGTGAGCCTGCAAAGTCAACTTATGGTCGCCTAAGTCGGTCGGGTCAGGGCTTTCAGCACTCACTCTCGAACATGTCTGGGCTTTAGGGCTTCAGGGGCTTAGGGCCCTTAGGATGCTTTAGGAGTTGAGGGCTTCAGAGGCTCAGGGCAAAGGTTTAGGGGTTTGGGGCCTTTCGGGGTTTCGGGGCTCACTCTCGGAGAAGCGGGGGGTTTTCAGGGTTTAGGGATGATAACAAACAGATAGCATAACCATAATAGACGATAAAAGCCCTAAGCCCCTAAGCCGCTTCTTGACTGACTTGTCGCCCTCTCCTCAGCGACGGCATGGAGTACATCCGTCGCTCTCGGGGCTCCTGTAGCGGCTTCGAGAAAGCTTTCATTGTGGTTGTGGCTTCATATGTACACGCACAGAATGCTCCATAAAGCATCCAGCTACATGAGTATGCAGGTCTGTATGTCTGCCTATATCTATATGTATATGAGCATAATATGATGGATGGACTCAACGGCTTAAGGCTGGCAGCTCCAGCCAATCCAGGTGCCTTTCTTCTTCAACACCCGCGACCCTTCTCTGACAAGCATGCACTTCGCTCTGAGCTGTGGCACCTCTCGGTTGGGAGCCCCATCACCGCCATCGACGCCTCCCCACACGATCAAGAGGCGACTTGTCTTGGAACGTTACTGCCATCTTGCATAGAGCTTCAACGATGATCACCCATTAAGAAACAACGAGCAAAATGCTGTTGGCAAGGCCTCCTTCACATGTGGGCAAGTCTGCTGCCATTCAACGGCAGTTCGCAGGTGCGACCTTCCACGAACAGCGCCACAGAACAACATGAATGCAGTAGACGAAGCACTACGGACTACAGAAAAGGACCTCACTGATCTAATACGGCTCAGGAGAAACTCAAGGCAGCCGCCCCAGAAAACTGACCACCCGCTTTATCAAAAGACTGATAAAGAGGACCTAACTAGGGGGCTCTACTTTAGAGAACTAGACATTTTGGGCTCCCTCAGCTCCCAGGGGGCCTTTGCAGTCGCACGGCGCAGCTTTGCATTGCAAAATTCGCCGAGCACCGCAAGAGTTGAGCCCATATCCGGGCAGGTAACGGCTTTTGACACTCACACTCGGACAAAGCAGGCAACGGTTTAGGGATGTTTAGGGTTTGCTTTGGTGGTACTCCGCTGAGGGGCATTCAAAACGCTCTCGTGCTTCTCTTCAGATTTTTCATGTTCCTAGCGAAGTCCGAAGCTGTGCAGGGCCAGGGCTTGCGGTCTTAGTTCCCGGCACACTCCGATACCGGTTTGTCTTTTCTGTCGCACATCTTTTCAAGAGGCGAGTTGCCGGCCATGGCTGAGAGATCTACATCGAAACTCAGTCCCTTCGAGCATTGAGTTGAGGACTACAAGTTTTCACACCTCTCAGTCTGGCCTCTAAGACGCTAAGGCTTTGTGTCCCATTCGGGCTCACAAAGCGATGGAGGGTCGGAGGTCTTCCAACAAGTTCACACTTATTGGTCTCAGGAACTTTTCAATGACCTTGAACGTCCGTTAAAGCTGCATCCAGGTATTCTGTACCGATAGATCATTTGTTAATAGCACTGTGGACGGCCTGCTTTCAGCAGGTCGTCCCAGAAAGCCGGAGTGGCTACCCCGCCCTTCCGCCAGGTTCCCTAACCCAAAACCCGTAAACCTGAACCCCTGAATCCCTACTATACCCCGAAACCCATCTCTGAACTTAAGAACCCTAAGCTCCGAAACCTGAACCCCTTTACCCTAGCATCTGGCGGTCTGAAGCAGTTTCAGCGTCGCGGTTGGACTGCGCCGGATCTCTGCGCTCATGGAGAAGCTCCTGCAAACAAAGCCAGCCCTGTTGTTTTCTAAAACTTCGCTTGGCACCTCTTTCTCACAATGCTAGTCATAATCTGAATAAGAACAAGACTAGATACACTAGTAATAAAAATACATGAGAACTAAGAATCGTAATGGGAACAGTCGTAATACCAACAGGACAATACTCATGACTCATAACAATAACGACAATGATAATTACCATGATGATGTTAGTGGTACTGATCACACCATCATAACAAGAGGATGCATGGTCTCAACTTCCCTGTGGAAACTTCCCGCACCCATTGCTTTAAGTTGCACCCTAGCCCAAGCATGACAGTGAGAGCACATGGGGGCTTCCTCCGAACGAGAGTCTCGTCCCCCATCCAGGGCCCAGGATCCTCAGGCAGGTTCATCTGCATCCTGTGAGGCACTGAGGTCTCACTTCAGCTGCACGTGAAAGTGCTTCAATTGCTGAGGCGGAAGCTGGTGTAGGGAAGTCCGAACCACGTTCGGCACGCGGGTTTTTTGGTGTCGTCTTAGTTAGCAGTTAGCAGAGACAGACCAAGCAAAATGCGACGACGGAGTCTGTGGCGTGACCTTTATGGCCAAGCTGCTGCCGTGTGCAAGCACGAAGTGCTCAGAGTTGCGTTTCCACGCTTCGGGTGGCGTTGGTGGTAGCCTTGCTGCACAAAACGCTTTAAACTACATCCAATCAATACGTCACTACACCTGAGATTCTACGGATCTTCTCGACCCTATAGACCTTAATCCTGTGCAGTCGCAGCCGGTCGCTTCGACACCCTGTAGCCGAGAGCCGAGTCACCATGGCACACGTTGTCTTCTAGAAGCGCCTGGCAAGCGGTAGAGTGGACTAACACCCTGACAAAATCAACGGTTCTTGTTTGTCGACCACCGATTGAGCTGCAAACCCGCTGGTCATCCAGAACGTTGCAGCATCCATGAAGTGTGGTAAAACAGCAATGTTCTCTTGGTCTAAAACTGAAGTATTTAGCGCGACCCATCAAAGCAGCGCAAACGCTGCCACCACAACACGAAGCCTGACTTACCTTTTAACAAGTTCCAGAACCCTTACAGAGATCGTTTGATGGATCCCTTATAGAGAGAAACTTACAGAACGGTTACAGATCCTTGTTGGAGTATAGAACTCCTTGTCCATCCCTTTATGGACAGCATCCCTAAATACCTGAATCCTTAACCCCTAGATCCCTAAACTCCCAAATCCCTAAACCCCATAAACCCTAAACCCCTAAACTCCCAAACCCCTAAACCCCGGAATCCCCCAAAACCCTTGTAGTAACGCTTATGAACAACCCTACAGTATTCTTTAAAGGGAACCCCCGTTATAGAACCGTGTAGCTCCCTTTGTAGGAAGACTTTACTATAGTATCCCTAACCCCTAAACCCTTCTAGTAACCCTTATAACTTCCTCTTGCAGTGACTCTTCCAAAGGAACCCTTTAATTACTATACCTTTAAGTCTTTAAGGGTAGTATACACTTCTATAACAGGCTCCCGCTTCAAGGTAGCATAGGCTTCTATGATACTCGGAGGATCATGCGACTTAGTATGGTTATAAATATGGTAACTATAACTATAACCCCAACTAGGGTACTTATAACCTTACTTACTAAGTCCCATGATCCTCCAAGTAGGGTCCCCTTCAAGGGAACCGAAGGCGGCCTCTGCCTCGGCAACTTTGCCCCGGCGCCGTCGGGCCTCGGCACCTGCAGGAGCCCTGGGCCCTGGGCTTTGGGGCCCTTCGGGTTCCTTTAAAAGGCCTAGTGTAGGGTTACTATAAAGGGAGCTACAAGGTACTATAGGGCTCTATATAAGGGTTACTATAAAGGGAGCTACAAGGTACTACAACGGGGGTTCCTTTGCAAGGGTACTGCAGGGCCCTATATAAGGGCTACTATAAAGGGAGCTACAAGGTACTACAACGCGGGCTCCCTTTCAAGGGCGCTACAAGGATACTATAGTAAAGGGTTGCTATAAGGCTTTAGGGCTTGTAAGGGCTACTATAAGGGTTTAGGGCTTATAGGGATTACTAAAAGGGTTGACGCTTTCACTATCGGACAAGCCAGGCGAGGAAGGGTTTAGAGATACTGTAGTGAAGGGTTCCTATAAAGGGAACTACACGGTTCTAGAACGGGGGTTCCCTTTGAAGGGTACTGTAGGGTTCTATATAAGGGTTACTACAAGGGTTTAGGGTTTATAGAGGGTTTAGGGCTTTATAAGAGTTCCTACAAGGGTTTAGCGTTTACAAGAGTGCTTTAAACACGAATATCGCATTTCCATTGAGATTCACATAAGGGTTAATTATCAAAGATTATTTGAAGGGCTACTGTAATAATTTTGGTTTAGGGTTGAAATAAGAGTATAAAAGGTTTGCTGACAAAGGGTTACTACAAGTATCAGTGCTACCTACTGGTTCCATCACACCATACTTGGAGCTCTCAAGTCGCCTTTAGGAACTTTAGGGTGAGGGTAACACCACCATAGCACAAACGTGACAGTGACGACGACGATGATATTCTTCATAGTTGACATTAACGACAGTCATGCATGTTGCAGGCGTCATCATGCCATGAGAAGAAATATGTCAATCACGAGATAGTTGCATTCAGAAACGACGGCCACAACGACAATGGGAGGGGCCCTGCGGAAGGAAGTGGATTTGTTTAGGGTTGGGGATCAGAAAACCTGCAATCCTAGGTCAATTTCAGGTTACTGCTGGGCTGGGCAGCGCAATCGACGCTACCGTATACGTGTTGTAGCCCTAAACCCTAAACCCTTATAGCAACTCAGTACCCTTTAAAGGGACTGAGACGAGTACACTCCCGCAGCGACTGGTGCACCATCGGGTGGTCTTCGCCCAAACGTGCGGCACGTCTCTGCCATGCCTGACACATCATTAGTCGTGCTTCTTCCGGAGTGCAACGAAGTTCGATTGCCGCATGCATTATGCTTGAGCAGCGGCTGTAGCTTTTTGCCTACGAGTCAGCATCTGTCGATTTCTATGCCGGTCGCAATTTAGCATAAATTACTTCTGTGGATGAAGCAACGCAAAATGTCGCACCATCCCGAATGGAACAAACATACGAGTGTTTGAGAGCTAAGTTTACACGAACTCGCTATCGTGATTAACACGTACAGTCTCAAGAGCCTGGTAGAAGGCATGCTCGGCTTCCGGCAAACGTCCTGGATTGGACATTGAAGGCATCGGAAACAGCTTTTAGCCCCTTCAAGTCTGGGGGGCCAAGTACTCCCTTCCCATGACCAACATCCGAGTTCCGATGACTTTCGCCCTCGGGCTCTACACTTCCACGTCGGATTTTCATGGGCTCCTTGCCGCAGCAGATTCAAGCCATAGTCGTGCAGGTTGTCCTTGCTGTGGAAGTCAGGCGTGTTCAAGCATGTGCCAAAAATAACCATGTCGGGTTCGATGCTTGCATGAGATCTCTTGCACAGTCGAACTGGAACCAACAATGCTGTCAATGATGTGCCACCCGACCACTTCAACGACAATCTGCAGTTTGAGCAGAGCTGCTACGTGCACCAGGACCGAAGATCCGAAGACGGTCTTCGCACTGCCCTCGACACCATGCATGAAGCGGATCTTCAGGTCCTCCTCCTCACGTTGAGACGTGGTTACATGCAGCAGAAAAGGTCAAGCTCATGTGATTGTTGTTGAAAGAAACACAGCACTCCATGGAGGCTCATGGTATTGGTCCTGGTGTGTGCGACTTCGCTGAGACCTCTTCTTGGCACCTGGTAGATCTCTGCGGTTTGTCTCGTCCAGCCGGCCGAAGACATACGTGCCTAGGTCGCTAGCAAGCGCTCATAAGAAACAGCAACTGATAGCTAACCTCGTAAGTTCTTTTCATCAATGCGGACCTAGGAGCGCAGTGAAGGCAACTCTGGCAAAGCCATCGATGCAACGGGCTGTAAACACTGGACACCCAGTAGCAGTGTCAAATACTCTGGATTTCGCATGCCGACTTTGAGACCAAACCAACGGAATTTCAACATACTGATTATTAGCACTGAACCTACCTGTTTGCTACCAAACCGTCTGCGCTCTAACTCGTGGGCTGGAGAACAGCAAGGAATCACTGGAATAGCCAAGAAAGCATGCCCAACAAAAGGACTCTTCTTCTTGTCTGTCGTCGCTCAATGACTCCATGGATCTTGCTGCTCCTGCTGTTTTTGTGTTTGCTTGCGGCATTGGTACTCCTCGAGTGTGACCATGTTGCTATCGTCGAGTTATCAATGGCATGTGCAACAGAACGTGCTTTCTGTAACTCTGTCCGTCGACGATTCTGCTAGGGTCAGATAGTTCTGCTTTGCCTTGCGGGGTTTATCATATCCACCAGGAAGCTGAAAACCCAAACGATACAGGAAACCCCAGACCCCCAAACTTCAAGCAACATTCACCCCGCCCTCCCCCGGCTCTAGTCGATCTTCCCCGGCGCCGGCGCTGGCTCGGTCCATGCACACGCTTAATTCCGCCAGTGACCTTGAGCCTTTGAACAGGGAAAAACACCCCCCAAGTACGGACCTTGATGACAAAATGAGGCTTTGCGGTATTTTATGGCATTGCTGCATAGGACATAGAGATAACAAAGGGGAGTAAGAGGTGGGGCTTGCTATCATCTTACTTTCGGCATAGAGACTGTACAAGAGGGACAAACGGAGCAGAACTGAGAACCAATCGGTTCTGCAGCGGGCTGCTGCCCTCACCTGAAACGAGTTCTGGACTTTTCTGGGTCAAGAAAGTAGCTCAGCTGATCCGCTGCACGCTCCCGGCTGTCCAGAACCCTTCTGTAACATAATGTACCAAAAGCTTCATGGGAGAAGGCAGGCTTCGCGAAAGCAGTGAACAACCCCACAAATCAGCCAAGTTGTCCCATGCCCGATCTGCACTGCCTTCTAACATGCCTGAGCCGGGACCTTCAGTCTGCTTCGGCTGAGCAGATCTGTGTGCTCGTACAGCCGAGCGAAGCCGGCAAATTCCAGTGGGATGATATCTGTTTTCATGGCATTGCTTTTGAAAGCTTTGTTTAAACTTAATTTCCTCTGCTGTTCTGTGCTTTTTGATGCCGGGTGGTGGCTATCGCAAGTCCTAAATTTCCTAAATCATCCCAGCCCTGCCGCAGCAGCTATTCAGCTCCGCAAGCGCCAGCCGCCGCTCTGCGAACAGGACGACAAGATTGCTGTAAGAACACAAAGGAATCTAATTGCCATTTATAGGCTGCCCTGCCCCCCCCCCCCGAACATCGCACTTGAAATTGCGATGTCAAGCTTGGAAATCGTATAGTCGCAGCGATCGGTGATTTTTGATGCAATGCTCAGCACGAACCAACTGCGTTGCCAAACATGGTAGTTGTGACAACCACAGCAGGAAAGCGATTAATCTTCAATACTCCTAAGCTGGCTACCATGAAACATCGAACTAGTCACGTCATGTCACTCATGTAACTGTCATCACGACAATAACAACAATTCACAACAACCCAATAGCAGCAGCAACAGCAAGGACTAGCATTCCATCCGCTGACACCCTGGCCTCAGCTCGGGCTTGTGAACATTTCGTGTGCCTAGCAGCTCTGCACTCAAACGCAACATCCTGCAAACATCATGTGCTGCAAGTACAATCCATTGCAATCCTCATTTGAGCAACTCTGGCACTGGAGATGCGGCTCCGGATTGAGGATGATTGGACATCTGGTGTATGTGCCGCTCCGGGCTGGTGGCCATGCACGTATTTTGCTCGCTTCCTTGCTTGCTTGATGCTTGCTCGCTGCTTGAAGAACCGGATAGAACCAAATTTCCTATTGCAATTATTCCAAGGCTTGGTGACGTCCTTCTGTCGATGGCTCATCAGTTGTGGTCCATGGGCGGTTTCAACCGCTTCTCCAACATCCGAGGTCCCCGCCCACGGAGCCGTTCTGTCCTGGGCTGCATGTGCCATGTCGAAAAGCTGAGAGTCCGAAGACAGTGCCCATTTTTCCCCTGAGCATCCCGCAGGCCCTCAGCAGGAACCGCTATCTGAAAGTCCCACGAAAGGACACGGACCTAGTTCTGAAAGTCCGTAAACCCCGATACCCGGACCGTCACTCTGCCTGAGATCGGATGATTCACAACCCCAGCCACCGAGGCCGCGACGAGCTGGAGGCCGTAATTCGAACTACCTGTCAACAAATTGCGGTAGCTTCGGTTTCATGCGTCCTCATGTTCACAACCTAATTTTCTAGGAGCCCTCATGATAGGAATGCTCGTCAACGCACTACTGTCAGTTCGTGCCGATCGTAAGATCAATTATTGTCAAAGGCTTCTCTGGGTCACGGGCTGGCGCGCGGTTTGCTGAAGAGCTGCGGGGCCTCTGCCTTGGCTCGGGATCATTGGGCGGTTTAGGCTTATTTCGGGGGGCCGAAATCATTAGAATGAGGTTTCTGGGGGTAGATTGTATATTGTACTAGCTGTCTGTGGTCGTACTATAGAGAGGCGGTAAATCTTTAGAATAGGGTTTTGGGGATGCTTGCGGGCATGTGAACTGGAATTCATAATAAGGAGCCCCTAGGACAAGCAGTCGTACTCTGTCGTACACATTATTCAAGCATAGTAACTTTTAGCACTCGCACTCGACAAGCAGGCGAGGGTTTGGGAGGTCAGAGAAGGTACATACTCTTGGGCTACTAGAAGTGTGCGACGTGAAGGATCCAAAAAAGGGGTCGCAGTTCCAAACAGGCTCCCACTCCTTCGACGCCCCCTTGCTGTTATGCGTTTCGGCGGCAGTGTCGATGGTCCCAGCAAGAGGGTCAAAGGCGTCTAAGGCCTAGAGACTTGCTGAGCGTTTCGGGCGTGAGAGGCCTTAGCATGTGTTCTGGCTTACACTTGACGACTGTCAGCATCAAGCTTCAACTGCGATACAGTGAAGAAAGAGCACATTTTCACATAGCAGGAACTACACTTGCTAACCAACGTGCCCAAATCTGTGGCTGTGGCGGCTGTGCTGCAGGTGTGGGACGTCGAGCGGTATCTGTGGCACCAGAAACTTCCCCGGGCTGTGCCGACCGATACCGGTGGATCTCTTTTCCGCCCTTGCATGCAATCTTCGCATTTGCCCGTCCAACCTGCCCTGCTGAAGATCTTCCTCAAACAATGCCGGCCTCGACCGTCTCTGACATGGGCATTGGACGAGGGGATCGACCTGCAACGTGTTTGTTGCTGGAAAATCGAGAAACGTTCCGACCCTATCTGGAGGACCCCCGTGCCGGCTGCCGTCTGTTGAAACTCGTTGCAATGGACAAGTTCGACGTTCATGTTGCCAGTTTGATGCCTTTCGCCTGAGCCTCCATGCTGGGGGTGCGTGATGACAGCTGGTCTTGGCATCGGGCGGCTCTTGCGACGACTCCCCGGAAATCGTCTCCAACGACCTGCATCCAGCTTTCGTCAATGAATGCTTTAGAACGAACAGAATGGCTACTTGAACTGCACCTTCTGCAAGCCAGCAAATATGCTCTGACTGATGGCCAGTCTTCAGCATGGATGGCCTTGCAATGGCCTGGCGCATGTTGTCCTGGACAGCTGCGCATGTTCCGAATCTTCCAAGCTCTACGCCTACATGGACTGCATACATGTGGGCGTTAAGAGATAGAGAGAGGTTTGTGGCATATTCTGTAATCATATAAGGAGTACAAGGGAATATTTTGACAAACTATCTTGTCCTCTGTATAGCTGCGAAGCCTACCGCTATGCAGGTGACCCAAGCTAGAGCAAGCTACTCCAGCTTTGGCAATTTTTTATTCGGACCTGGTGCAACCTTCGGCGACAGGATGGGCAGAAACGACAGTTGCCTCAGTGACAACGTAGATTCAGCTGCCCCGGGAAGGTACCACAAACATCTCTTACATGCACCAACAGCTCCTCCTACCCCTAGCTGTTTCGTCGAAAGAAAGGAAAGGGGTCCCGGCATTCTTTGCGTGTGGAAGCACGCTCTCTGCTCCTGACATGTTTCTCAACTGATCATGGTCTGTTAAAGGGATGCGCTGGGCATTGGTCCCGAAACTAAGACTAAGCCCATGATCGAAGCCTGCGGGGCTTGGAAAGAACCAGAAGCTTTACCCGCCCCATGCAAGCGAGCAAAGGGCAGTCCGAACCTCTCAGCAGCAACTCCGCTGGCCAGTGCCTGCGCAGCTTGCATCCGACAGCCCAGAGTGACTCCACCGTCTGGCTTAACAGGGCAAGCCCTAAACTCAAACCCTAAATCCTAACTTGGAGGCTCATGGGACTTAAAGTACCCTAATTGGGGTTATAATTATAGTTGCCTTATTTATAACCCTAGCTACTAAGTCCCATGATCTTCCAAGAAGACAGGGTTTGGAGACGTGCTTCGCTCCGCGTGGCCTTCGCAGGCGGTGCCTTGGCCCTGCCAGCAGATCCAGGTCGCCTGGAGGGGCCCCGCCCCGAGTTTTGGGGAATTTTTCTTTCTCGCTCGTTGCTTTCCGCTGCCAGAGGCTCTTTTGGGGAATTTTGACACTCACACTCGGACAAAGCCTGGTAAGGTCTGTAGCGATACTCGTCGGATGTTGAGACAAGAGAACTCAGTAGCTTTCACTGATGTCTGAGTTCTAGGTTATCAGGCAGGGCTTGTCCAAAAGCCAGAAACAAGTGGACAACCATAGCATGAGTTTTGGGGAATTTAGGATTTAGGGTTTCGGCACTCACACGCGGTCCTAAACCCTAAACTCGATGCACAGAAGAGGGGGCTGCAAGATTGTTGCTTGGCGCCTGGTTGCGGTAGCTTTCCTTGGCACGCCACCACCTCACTATCCCCAAAGCAAGTCTGCCATGGAAGTTCAGGGTAGGTGTGTGTAATTGCAACCTGCTGCCAAGACGAGAAGCACAAGGCGAGTCTTCGGACATTTTCTGATGAGCTGTTCAACCACGTCCTCTGCTCTCCGGACATGGATCATGTATCTCTGAGGGGACTTGTCTTGTCAGGAACTTGCAAGGGTTTGCAAGGACTCCAACACAGGCACCTCAATTGATTTAACATGTATATCCTCAAAGGGCTTAATTCCACAACCCCAAAAATAGCTTCGCGCTTGAACAGTGCTCAGGCAAAGCTACAACCCCCATACAGTCCCTTCAAAGTAACCCCTTATAGTATCCTCCCCTTTTAGGCTTTTAGTAAACTTTTTGTAATGTAGGGGCCCTAATAAATAGAATAGGGTTTTGGGGGGTCCTTATTGTAATTATCAGCTAATATACCCCAAACCCACCCTATTTCAACTATTCAAACCCCTACGTTAAACCTTGTGCCCAGGTTGAGGCCGTCGCCAACAACTGCCAAGGGCGGCTCCAAGGTGAAGGCTGAGCCATGACCTGACCAACTCCCTCTGAACATCACGAGGCGTCCCTTTAAAGGGAAGGACCTGGGGTTCTTTATGGTAGTTTCAGAAAACTGGGGTACCTTATTCAGGGGATCCTTTTAATAAGGATCCTACTATTTACGGTCCTGCCCCCGGATTTCTGAAACTCCCATAGAAGGGTTACTCGAACAATCCAGGCGAGGCATGTCTTGAGTCGGGTGAAACAATTTAGGAGCCGGGGAAGGACAAACAACAAGATCACCCCCTTTTGAAACCGGACTTGATGACTGCCAGCATGGCCTCTTCTGCCGCGATCACCCCCTAAACCCGTTTTGCATCCAGGCCTATTGCAACTGCCGGGTGCCCCTGAACCCTAAACCCCTAAAGTACCAAACGTAATGACGAGATCTCGATCCTTCCAGGCTCTGAAGTCCGAGAATGCAATCAGCAGCTGGTTTCGGCTCTCACACTCGGACAATCCAGGCGAGGCATACGGTACGAGGTCTGCGCAGATGGTTTAGGACTTCAGGCCTGCTAAGGGTTTACGCTCTCGCAACTCGGGGCTTCGCGTTGAGGGGTTTCAGGGGTATGGGTTTCTGGCTATAGGGTATAACCCTCGTGGCTTCTAGTTGTGAACATTGGTATCGCAACCATGATGACTAGTATAGTGCTATTGCCATTATCGGGTACTTCGTGATGCAGCGGAATAGTTTGTGCAAGACTAGATTCGGTCTTCATCCTCATTGGGAGCCACTTCGAAGCACTATGCTGAGAACAGGGTCCATTGCCTGGTTCTGTTTTCGTCAGTGTCCTAGTGTAAGACCCATCTAAGGGCTCCTCCCCTCCTGGAGTCGGAAATTGGCCGCCAATGCGTGCGTACATGGGGCTGGAGTATGAGGAATGACCGTTAACGAAGCTAGAGGTGCCCTGCTACGCTACTTGATTCTTAGCTTACACTCTGCAAATTATCTTGAGCCAATAAAGTCCAAGTGGCCACCAGGCCACACCACCGGTCTATTTGACTTGTGTACACATCGAATACTTAGCTTATGCACGTTGCTTCAGAACGTAGCCGAAGTCTGCAAGAAACACCCTAGGCAAATTGCGTAGAGCTGAATTCATACATGCATACATATATGTATATATATATATATGTATATATCTACATACTATGTATCTCTATATATATATATATATACAGATACACAAGAATTACCGTATAGTACAGTGTGCTCTCTCACTGGTCTCGGCACCTCGGCTTGCTGCTCGTGGAGGTTGTTGCTTGGCCTCAGCAGCGGAGGCTTCAGGCGTTTGTTCCCTCCTACTGTGGGGGCCTTAGTAATTAGAATAGGGTTTTGGGGTATAGTATACAATACTTTTGATAAGGAACAAGATCTAGGTAATTATTGAGGCCCCTATATTAGCAAGGACGATGCCCGCATTGCAAGGCAAGGTTGGGGCTTGGGGTTGTTTTCGCGTCGGGGCTGCATAGATTTGCCCGAAGGTCTAGGGTTTTTGAAACTTAGGGCTAAAGGTTGCTACAACCCACATGTCATTGCATGCTTCACATTGCTTTCTATATGACGAAGCCACCAAATGCCCTCGACTTGGGTTACGGTCGCAAGAGGAAAACCACATCTATACCTGTTCTAACTGTTGAAACATGTCATCATTTCTTAGCACCAAGCACAGCGAAGCCTGCGCGATTAAGGAAGGCAGCATGCCATTTTCTCTCGCAAGTTTCAGGCCACCTGGTCAAGGTAGGCCGCTGCAACCTGGATCAAAGTTGGATTGTCTTAGTGGTAGTTGATAGCAGTCGCCGTCTCATACTAATTGCTTGATCTCATGAGAATCCTCCCCGAACTGGGCGAAACCCGGCCAAGCGGAGTACAAATCATGGATGTGTCGTAGAAGCTGTTCGACCCTCAGACCACAGCAGGAATCTTTAGGGATCTCGTGGGATGTCCAGCCGGCTCCAACACGCGCCTACGTACGCGGAGGCGAGCGGGGGCTTCTAAATATGAAGTGAACATTGAAACATTGTTACAGGCAGTAGTAAGTAGTGAGTATCACGATTTCAGTTCTTGCTGTTATCGTCACTAGCCATAACAGTAGTGCTAGTAAATGGTTAGTTAATCTTTGATACTAGTAGCAGAAGCACGACTTGTTGATTCTCGGTGCGTGTGAAATAATCTTGGCTACCGCCTGCCATTCTCATTGTGACGGCTCAGTCTTGTAGGAACCTTTGTAGTTGCCCTCAAGTACCTTTATAGGAACTCTTACACTATTCCTCCTTAGCAGCCTTTTGGCAACCGTACAGGTTCCCTAAAGCCTATGCCTAGGCGTCTCCCACCTGCCGCCAAATGGAGCGCTCCAGCAGCGGCAACTCTTGTCCAACCCTGCAATGCAAACAATTAAACAGTTGGGGTTTGGGTGTTTCTTCACGAACCTTTTCTACTCGCTGGTTAACCTCGGGTGGGTTTTAAGTAGGGTTGTAACAGCGGTTTCGACTCGCACGCAGAAACTGCGGCTTGGGGTTCAGGGGGACCAAGCACACCAGCAGAGCCAGTCAAAGGCAGCAGGGAGTTCTGTCAGGATTTCCATGCATTGGGAACCAAAAGCCAAACAAATGCCGAGTGTACCACCAAGGTATGGCAGCCCCAAAGTAAAGGCGTCAACTCTTCTTGCTGCCCTGTTCTACAGGTCGGCTTGTCGTACCCATTGCTTTTTCCGATTTCTGCTTGCGTGTTGACGAACAACAGTTCGTGCAGCTGAACGGATGCACAGACATTCAGGCACAGTTCTTGAGATCTACTGAGAACGCAAGTTAAGCTGCTTTGTATGACACCTCCTAGCACAGCATAGCCGTAGCCCTAAGCCCAAAACCCTGAAAGCCCGAGCAATGCGCCGAGTGGCAATAAGGCGAAGGTCTTCGACATCTGTCGGGCGAGCGGCCTGCGGCTCGGAAGTAACAGGCTGGCTCATCTGAGGCCCTCAATATTTAGAATAGGGTTTTGGGGTATATTCTAGTATCATCATCTGGGGCCCTTAATATATAGAATAAGGTTTTGGGGTATATTCTAGTATCAGGGTAATGATAAATACGAACCCCAACGAACAACATTAGTACTTACCTAGTACGCATCGACTTGTAGACTTGCTCTGGCAGGGCGGCATCGAAAGGGAGCCACCAATCTGCTTTCCAACTCTGCATGGCAAGCAGGCTTAAGTTCAATTGAGCTGACTTTCAAACTGTCAAACCCTGCCCGAATCGTGACGCTCTCTCGTTCAACCCTGAAGCCGGTTGAAGAAAGCTCCCATCTGAACTCTGCGCCTCGCAAACGCGGTGCCCGCAGGACCGGCGGAATATGGCGACACCTGAAAACCACAAACTTTTGATAATCCTGATATAAGCATCTCAGTTACGTCTGTGTACTCGTTTTCGAAGTTCGTTTTCTGGTGGCTGTTAGAGGATTTACCAGTATCTATAGTACTTCATGGGCTGCTCCAGGGTTCGTAAGTCGTAAGCTTTCTCGCCGTCAGGCTGTCATGACATGACCCCTGCGCAAGTCTGATTCACTCTGATGCTCGTCGGAACTTATTCGCGAAGCCTGCAAACGAACTACCCACGCCCGCAAGGCCAGAGTTCGTCGGCAATGCAGGCAACAAAAATACTTATAGTCAGAGTATGTCAGAGTACTTAACAGATATCACTGGCAGTTGTAGTAGTCGTCGTCGTAGCCGCAGTAGCGGCAGTACTTGCAGCAGGCGTCGTGGTGGTTACTAGTAGCAGCAGTGGCAGTGGAAGCTGTGGCAGCAGTCGCAGTGGTAGTAGCAGTTGTAGTAGTTGTAGTAGTAGCAGCAGCAGGAGTAGCAGTTAGTAGTAGTCGTCGTAGTGGCCGTAGCTGTAGTTGTGGCGAGTAGTAGCATTAGCAGGAGCAGCAGCACTAGTAGTATTGGTAGTGGCGAAAGCGAAGTTAATCGAAGTCGGGATGGCAACCTGGCCTCGGGGTCTGTAGGAAGCCCTGGCAAAGCATTCTCCCGCAATGCTTCCCGCAGCGACGGCTCCATGGGATCGAGGAAATTACGTAGGAAATCCTGGGAGGCGATAAGACTTTTGGATTGCATGGGCTTTTGCACTGTTATCGAGAATTTCGGCCTTTCGCTGCTGCAGCTTTCAGAGCACTCCTACAAGACTAAGACTGGCAAGGCCTTGACAAGGGCTAACAATCGGCTCAGCAGCCGGTCCCACGGCTCGAAGCCCGAAGAACGAATGGACAAATACAGGCAAGGGTAGGGCAAGGGTGGTTGACTTGCAGGCCACGGCTATGCAGGACAAACTCCCCGCTCCTCATTATCTCTCGCCACGACATCAATGATCAAGTGCACGCGAACCCTTAGCTCGGCACATCATCTCAGCGGCAAAGCTTGACTTGCTGGACAGTCCACATCGACTGCGACGTTTGCATGGTGTGATTTACCGTCTGCTAACTTGCGAAGAGCTTTCCACGGTCATTGCCAATATCTTTAAAACCTGTAAGCGAGAGGCTCATCGTCTGCGTTGAAGACACTGTGCGGTAGCGAGTAGTCACACCAGTGGATCACACCTGCAGTTCGTCTCGAGCCGTCATTGGGCCGTCATGTGCAGCACAAGTCAGGCCATGCGTCGTAGTGCTGCTAATGCCTTTGCCTTCTGACGCCCAGCTAACTGTAACCTTTGTCCATGTGTGCGAAGCTTGCAGAGGCAACCGGTTCGACGGACTCATGTTGACTCGACTTCAAAGTAGGTCGAAGATGTGCATACAGTGCGTCTTCCCTGCCTTCAGGAACGTGGAGAAGGAGGTGGCCGACTCTTGTCAAAGCTCCGCGGCTAGTCATGATCGGCACCTGAAGCCAACATTCAACCCTTCTTCCACCGCTTGCCGTCGTCCCAAGGTTCAGCACAGGCTAGACTCCCTCAGGCCCTGGCATGAAGAATCAAGCGGCCGTTTTCCAGCACTCCGTCATCCGGATGCCAGCCCTGCAGTCACAGGCTCATCGTCATCGATCCCGTGTTGAGGCAGGTTCGTGGAGGTTGCTACGGTAGAAAGCAGGAACTGCGCTGAATCCACTGCCAGGCGGCGATCATCCCACCTGGCAGGAGGAGGCTCAGTCGCACCCGACCTGAATGCCATGAGCAAACAGCTGTCCGAGGGCAATGCGGGTTGGATTCACTGTTGCAATCTGGTGAATAAATGCTGCGACCGACCCCTTCTCAAATATCGCCACAGTCACAACCCTTGATTGCATGTCCTGCTGCGCTTTCCAAGCCAAACGAAGGATCCAACTGCTGGAGTTCTGTCTCCTCCTCCCTCTCTGAAGAACTCACCTGCAGGTGGGTTGCCGGTCTTTCCGAACAGTGCGACAAACTTCTGGAGCTCCTGGGCAGGAAAGCCGGAGGCGTAACAGTACAGTGTGCCGGGAATCAAGAACAATGATTTGAGCAAGTTTGCCAAGCAATCTTGCCCCACTTGGGGGGAGCAAGATTGCCAGCAAGCTTGGCCAATGTTGGTCTAAAAGGCAAACAAGTCGGCAAGCAAGTGGGGCAAGATGACCAAGATTGCCAAATGACCAAGATTGTTGGCAGTCTTGCTTTTGACCAAGATTACCAACGTGGTGCCACAATTCATCTAAATTCTCAGCACAATGTAACAGTATACAGTATAATCCACAAGGAGACCGAAGCAGCAATACATGTGAACAGAAAGGTGGCAGAACAAAACGCCTGTTACCATAGCATGCCATACACGAATCTGATGTTCGTATCCGGGGCAGCAAGCCCGCATTGAGGACTCATGGGACCTTTATCCCAAATCCATCTCATGGAGCAACACGCAAGCGCCCGAGCAAACAGATGCATGATTATGTTTGTAAGTTGAAGTATCGTTAGGGTTGCTGTAAATATGTCTAGCTTCTTTCCATTTCTTGTTGATCATTGATATTACTAGTACTATTCGCCGAGGCGCTGGGGCTTCTCGAAGCGCTTCGGTTGGGGCAAAGTTCGTCGCATTCTCCGTGGTTGGGTCTTGTGATCCGTCTTTGCAGACCAGACAGAGCGTCCTTTCATGAGGCTGAAACACCGTGGGGCAGCTGCAGCTTCGGAGGAGAGCCATGCCAAGCTCAGTTCATGGCCCTGTCACTAGACAAGCTACCACACCACAGCGGGGCGGGTGTCACTGAAACATACAGACCGACGGACAAGCATACATTCTCCGTACTGTGGCAGCCTTGAACATGCCCTAAACTTCTCTACGCATCCAACGTATTCGCCAGCAGTGTGGCGACTGCCTTGACCGAACTCAACAAGCATGGTCCGCCAGGCGTCTTCCACGTCTCACGGTCATTGGATGGGCCCGGGTAGTTGGTGACAGCGAAGCGCTCCAATAACATCAGCGCCTGAGCAAGGGCTCATTCTGCCAGGGGGGCATGTCGGGTCCAGGCCTTCTAAAGTTCTTTACTCATATGGGAACCAGATGAAAAAATCGAAGATTTTGGGATGTAGGACCAGGGTGTCATAATCAGGTTCCTACATTATAACTTCGACTTCTCCTCCCTCAGCACTAGAAAAGCGGCGGAAATGTGGGCCTCGTTCTTCAACGCCTGGAAGCTGGTGTTGGGCGGCCAAGGCAACGGCCTGCGGGCGGACTTAGCAACTAGCAACAAACATAAGGGCCGTAATAATTTAATAATTACAAGACTGTTTAGGGTATACTATATTCAGCTGCATTGCAGTATCATTGACTTAATAAGAAAATATAAGAAACCTGAACTATTGGAACTTTGGAACCGGGTTTTGTGGCATACTACAGCAGTATTTATCTGCCGACCCCGCCGGGGCCCCAACCGCCCACGCGCCCACCCTTTCTCTCTCCTTCGTTCCCCCCCCTAAACGTACCTCCCAGACCCCACTTTTTCTCCCTTCCCTGCTCCCCACCTCCTCTCCCCCTTCCTGCGCTGTTCGGTGACATCTCTCCATCAGCTTTGACAATGCTTTCTATATTCCCAGCGCGTACGTCCGCCACGCCGCCCCCCCGCCCCAACCTTCTTACCCGCCCCGACTTTGCCCACCCCCTTCGCCCCTTCTTCGGTTGATGGAGGAAATGTTGCACCACCTATTTAATATAAAGTGACACGACAAGTGAGCATAGCCCCGCACCCCCTTTTTAATATTGACGACGATGGCTACCGAGGTGGTGCAAGATTTCTGTCATTGGAACCGACGGCGCTTCGGAGGATCAAGAGTCAATATTAAAAAGGGGGCGCGGGGTCTCTGCTTTGCTCGGCCACTTCAAGTGGTGCAAGATTTCCTGCATCAACAGTTTCACTCGCCTTCAGGCGTCCTGCTTCAGTCCTTCCTGCCAGGCCCCGCCCACAGCGCACCATCTCTCCCTCCCCCGCTGTAGGCCTCTGCTTTTTGGATTCAATGCTAACAGAATCATCACGCGGATCGGTTTTGCTGCTGCGGAACTCAAGTTTCAAAGGAACTCATCGCCTCGGGTCAGGGCGGCTGGGTGTTCAAGCAACCCCCCAAGCTCTGACTGTATCGGTCGTGTCGTGCTTCGCTTTTGGCAGTGTGTGGTCCTCTGTCTTTGTTATTGTCGAGTCCCTCGGGTTTGCTTATCCTCGTAGTGATTTGTACTGTATTTCTGCATGTTCGTGGTATGCAAAAGCATTTTCAAACATGAGTCGAAGAGGCAGCACCAGCTGCTCTGGCCCCAGCGCTCGTGCCACAAACCTGGGTGGCAAAACGACAGCCCTCCAACGAGCAGCACCGCAGAGTAACGATCCGGCTAGCAAGCGCAGTTATCGTCGCTGCCGTCAAGATTACGTAGACACGTAGACGTGGTCGCGGTAGCTTTGCTAAAGCTCTCAGCATCGACGCCAGCCGATGGCATTCAGTTAGGAACCAAGACCGATGCTCAGCAACCAAGGCTGCAGGACTCCATTTCTTGCCCTCGCACCGAACCTCGCCAAGCTGCTGCACCCAGGGGTAGTGCACATCAGTCTTCTGCCTTTGTAACGCGCGTGAATCGTGTTTGTGAAGGATCCAACAAGCACCCAGATCTTACGAGCCGTTTGGTGCGTCAGAGAGAAGTCTGCGGCACTCGCTGTCCGATAAGCTGTCATAGTTATGGCAAAACTCTACAGCTTTGGCATTTGTCTTGCAGGCGCTGGAAGTAAGCAGATGTGCTGTGCGTATTGCAATCCCTGCTGGCAGCTGACTGCAGCTCGAGCGTCTCCCAAACCGTGGCGAAGTTGCCTGGAGCGTCGGTTGGCATCCTTCAGACGAGCTACGAAACGCGACGAAGCGATGGATAAGCTGAGCCCCAAAAGCTCTAATGCAACCAAGCATCCAGATTAGCCCGCGGTTCTGGCCAAAGTTCAAGAAACCAGTGCAGTTTGGGATTTTCACAGGCAGGCCTAGCATCCTAGACTCTGTGGAGGTAAGAGGTCAGTTGTAGTGCAGCCGCTCTGAAATCAGCATCACAAACATCGCGCGACCCAGAGGAACACTTCTGGTTCGGAAGTGCCTCAGCAGCTGGCTGGCTTTGAGCCACTGCTGACTTCTGCTGCAGCATCCTCAATGTCAAGGACTCTGGTAGTTCCTTCTTTGGCCTACAGAGTCCACCAGGACGACTCGGGAGCCTGCTTAGTAAAGCGTGCACTTCGTTCCGTGGACTGGAGACTTGACCAAAGAGCAAGAGGCAACCTCCTCTTCATTGATTGACTACTGCCATCTTTTATCACTAGCCACTAGCCGCTAGCACGAGGACTGCGACGACAACTACTCGAATTCCCGTTGCTGCCGCTGTCACCACCGCCACGACTCACTCGGCTCCTCACCATATAGGGCCTTAATAATTAGAATAAGGTTTTGGGGCCCAGTACACTATAGTTTTCATAAGGAAGTCCCAAAATAGTCGTACCTGGAGGATCATGGGACTTTTGAACTAGCGTTATAAATAAGGTAACTACACTTATAACCCCAATTAGGGTACTTATAACCGTACTTCTAAGTCCCATGATCCTCCAAGTAGTAATTTCTTAGGCCCCTACATTACCAGGCCAGAAGGTCCAAGGAACGTGAGCAGGGTGGCAAGCGGCCAGGGCGTCTGCAGCAAAGCCGGAAGCAACGCCTTGACATGGCATCGGCTTTAGACGTCAGGGGCGGGCATTTTTCCCGCAGTCTTGTCGTATAGTATAGTATATTACAGTATATTAGGGTATATTATAGTATATTATGCTATTCGTGTTTTGTTGTTGTTTTTGTGAGCCCCACCTTCCCTGCAAGGCAGCCCATGACTGCGTCCTCTGCTGCTGACACCAGCGCAGAGCGTGCCACAGATGGCGAAACCGCAGCCTGCCACTTTCAGTTTTAACATGTCCAAGGAAGCACGGCATTTGTCACATTGTTCTTCTGACTCCTGACGCCAACGCGGAACAACGACTGGGCAGTAGGTTTGCTGGTCTTGAGGTGGGGGAGGGGGGTGCAGTGCACCAGCAGATCTCGCGAGCCGCCAGCCTTCAGAAGGCATGCCGTGGCACTGGAGAAATCATGCCTCAACTTCGATGTGGCTGCGTACGTTGACATGCTATGGCAAGTTAACAAACATGAGCTTGGATGACTGACACGCAGCTGAATTGATTTCGTTCCGAGAATATCGGACGATGTTGCCCTCACAAGACTCCTGTTTCCGTGCGGCCTGAGCTAGCAGAAGATCCGACATGGCGTTGAACATATCTGGTCACCTCTCCCGGAACTCACGAGAAGCCTTCTGTGCGGCAGAAATGCTGCAGGGGTTGGCCGCAAGCCTCGTTCAGGCCATCGACAACTTCAGGCCCGTCCAGCAGGAAATGGCCTCGCGCTGAGAGACCAACAGTATACATCCGGATGCTAAAGTGTAATGTACTACCATGCACTACACTAGAATAGAATCAGAATTACGTGAAATTAAGCCCAGCCAGTGGTTCTCACACGGGCGTCCCCAGACTCACGAGCGATCGAACTGCGATCCAGGCCTTTCTCAGCCATTTGCGTCGCCGCTCGAAACACGGTATGCTCGTGACCAGCGCGATCTGTGTCAGATTGCTGCAGCAGACAAAGCTCATCTATGCTGGCGACGCTCATACTTACGATCACATCAATCATGTGCCTTCGCCCCGGTCTCCGCATGCTGGGAGCTCCTGAAAGAAGCGCGCGTAGAAGTGAACTTGAAGAACTATCATGTGCTAAGCGACACTACATAAAATGCTATGAGTATGGGTAGCGGTTTTGTCTCAATGAGTAGAGTGGCAGATGATGCGCTTGACCTTTGTCTGACCTCCGAGCAGATTTTGAGGTCACTGGACCTTCTCCTGCGTTCTCATCATCCGGCCCTACAGAGAAGCAACAACACAGACACTCACACACATACATTTATATCTATCTATCTATCTATCTATCTATCTATCTATCTATGTATATATATATATATGCATACATGCAAAAGTATGATGTGCGATTCTTGGGATCATCCCTTAACCACTGCGACAACAACTTTCAACTCTCAGTGCGGACGCGGTCCAAAAGCATGACTATCCAGAACTGATGGCAGTTGGCTCGGGCTTGCCTGGTTGGTGAACAGCCCTTCCTGCCCAGTCCACGACCCTGCTTTCCTTAGGAAGCATTGCCCCAAGGCGAAATTTGTGCTTGCACATGAGCCCATGCTCCATGCGCTTCTGTCAAACGAGGCGCATTAGCCGCGCATGGCTCTCCTCAGAATGGGCAGTGCACTTGATGCCGCGGCATAACTTTTTTTTTGCTACAACTGTGATGTGTTTGCAAAATCGAAGGACTCTGCTTCTGCTACCAGTACAAGTCGAGCATCGATCAGCGAGAAGAATGGCCAGTCAGTTTCAAGGACCAGTCCTGCGAAACTCAACGGCACAGCTGCACTGTGACTGCTATGGCCTCGGGAAGGTGGCAGAAGAAATGCGTGCCACAAATCAGAAGACAGCTGCAGGAAGCGGCTCGAAGGGACTCAATACAGTTGGCAGCAACCACATTTACATCCGAGCCCAGTGTTGCAAGCGTGAGTTTTCGAAAGGATCTCAGTTTCTCGCAGCTGGGCGGCACAGAAATAAACGAAGCCGACCGCAGAGCAACAAACTCGTCCTGCCCATCCCTCCAAAGAGACACCCTCGATGGCGTGCCGGAAAAGGTAGGATCCTGGACGGGACGCGGGGTGACCTACAAAGCATCCAAACTAGGCCACTCTCAAGTCGCAATGCCCGAACTCTTGCCACTTCTTGGCACACATGTCTTCTGCTTCTTCTGGGCATGATCAGTCTGCCATGTTCCCTGTGCACACAAAGCTCACCCTCGGGTTCAAACATTTCCAAGGGGTACCGACTCTCTCTTGCTGACTCCGTATGCTATATGAATTTTATGCACACGCATCCACCCACCCATCCGTCGATCCATTCCTGCCTACAGCCTCCACTAACACACACATGTGTGTGTACTTTAAACCACATTTGGGGGTTTCCGAAAATAGGGGACCCTAATATAGTACCCTAAATCCTAAATAATAGGATCCTTATTATAAGGACCCTCAAAATAAGGTACCCCTTATTTTCGGAAACTCCCATTTCAGCCAGGTATCGATCCGGACCGGGCTCGGCGCAAAATGACGAGTGCAGCACAGCAGAAGCGATCCCGATGATGCAACCCTCCCAGACCTGGAGCACCAGGGATTGGGTGTAGCTTACTGATACTGTACTACTAGTATCATACCATATATGATATACAGCTTATAATTTATAATGGACTACTACACTGTACGTTCTATACTGCACTCGTTGTACTTATGCTATGAGAATGGGAATGAGGCACATTAGGGTGCTTCGGCTTCTCAGGGCCACAGGGATGAGCTGCTCTTCTCAGCTCCCCCGCTTTGCACTACCTGTCGTAATTTCTGATTGCTGGGCTGTTTCTATGCTGTCGCAACTAGCTCCGACAGAACTGACGACAAAGTCCACTTGACTGGGCCTGCGGGGTTCTCGCGATCCAGTTCGCTGCCACACAAAGGGTCATCCAGCGCATGGGCCTTGGGGATCTGTTCTTGGGAAGAGTTGGGATGAGATTTGAATGAGGGTACCGGTTACGGACCGAGTATGAATGTTTCATTGGGGTGCTTGCACTTCGCTGGTTTAGATGAAGCCAGCTGTAGCATTTTTGCACACACACTTTTGCATTGATATGCATTGTTTTTTGTGCTTTGTGTTGTCAAGCTTTCGACCGCTCCTTCGCTTTGGCTTGCAGTGAGAACCTGTGCAGTCTTCCACGCTTTCGAACTGCAGTGAAGACATAACGCCCTCTGATGGAAGATGCTTTCCCATCGCCAGATGCTCTTTGACGCAGAAAAAGATCGGATCAACCCATACTGCGACTTTCGCTGAGTTTGGCTTCCAATAAACATCATTTAAGGCACGCCGGTCATCCCACGCCCCCCTAAACCCTAAACACTTACAGCCTAACTGCTCATGTTCTAGCAGAACGTTGTGTCTCGAGGCCTACAACCCTTCGTTCGACCGAGACAGGCCAAGGGTCGAATCCGCCGCAGGCCCGCGGCTCCAGGATGTCAGCTCCTATACTAGCAACAATAGCAAAAAGGTAACATTATAATAAGCATAACGCTAACAATACTAAGAATAACAATTGGTAACATGGAGGCTGAGAGCGTGGGGCATGGCTATCTCGATGCATGAGCCGGTCTGACGAGAGTCCTTCCCCAGCCATGGCCAGTCCACACCTAGCGGGCACCAGCTACGTTGTAACATTTTAAGTTGTAGGGTAATGCTAAGTTTCGTACTGTCATTGAAAAACTACTACAAAACTATATTACATTGTATCATATTATATCACAGTATCGGCTCCACGGAGGCCGCCAAACTGGGCCGGTACAACTCTGCGATCAGCTGCAGCCGTGTAGCTTGAGGCCGGATTGTCGCAACCGGCCGACACGTCCGCCATAGCCGGCGGCAGCTTTCATGCGGCTTGGGGTGTTTCACGTCTTTGTGCCCGAGTTGTGTCCGCGCCCAATGCTTTCAATGATGTCATGCACTGGCAGGTCCGCCGTTCTCTCGGGTTGACTCGGGGCTCAGTTTGGACTGCCTTCTTTCATTTCACGGACGTCTCGAGATTGAGCATGCCGTCCAAAGGCAGAGTGACAAGCAGACTTCAGCAACGTCTGTGGTCGATGTCGAGCGGCTCTGAGATACGTGCATTGGACGAACCGTGTTAAGGCCAATACAATCTTTGAAATCTCCTTCATGGCCGGCATGCTCTCCGGAAGGTTGGCCACCTAAGGATTTACACCGCAGGGATCTAACAAAGGGCTGTTCTCGTCCCCTGGCAGCTAAGCTCCCCACTTTTGTCTGTGCTTCAACTTCTGCTGCATCTCTTGGTTCTGGCCGGATGCATCCACAGTCCTCCTGGCAAATTGACTTGTGTAAATTGGTAGAACTTCCAAGAAGCTCCTGTCAAAATAGGACGAGATGCTACGGGTTCCCCTTGCACGATCACTTGGATACTAAGCCATCAAGAAGCATCAGCTGCGGCCTCGAAGCGTTCCCTAATTCACCTAGCTGGTAGCTGGTGCCACAACGACGGCTTCGATTGCTTCCATTGCATGTGAGGGCACGAGAGAGGGCAAAAAGTGGGCTGTCGACCACTGCAGAACGTCCTCCGGCGCTTCTGGCAGGGACGATGCCATCCCTGCCAAGGTTGCGCTGGATGCAACAAGAGATGGCCTTACATGGCCTTACAAGCAAATATCGGAATAAATAAAAACAAGAAGACAGTAAGAGGCAATACTAAACTCGTTTCATCCAGCAGCAAGACTATGAAACGCATGATGCCGAAAACACGTCGACGTTCGTCTGATTCGGATACTCCGCTCAGACTCCTATGTATGCTTTTCTGCAGACAGCTGGTGCCATCGGACACAAGGCAAACTTGGGCGTAAATTTCCCTGCCCGAAGCACCTTCGGAAGCCAGGGACGCCGCCAAAAATGCCGACAACTCCTGCGACCGGTACGCATGGGGCTTAGCCGACCGCTGAACAACATCTTGCCGGTCCTCGTGTGCCGCGGATTCTCCCGGTGCCTCGGCCAAAAGTTCTCACAACTCGAAACGAGGGATACTCTCTGCGTATTGACTTTTCTTTGCATTTGTGCATAGATTCTTAGATAGATATGCGATAGATATGCAGCTGTATAAGGCTGTATATGTACATGCTCATTGAGGATGAGGGAGCTCTCCAAGAAGCAGCGCCTATGCCTGAGTTTTTGCCTTATAAATCCGAAACTTAAGACCCTCTTAAACGACCCTCTGAATCCCCAAAACCCCTGAGATCTCAGCCAGAGCCGGAGAAAGGTCTTCGTCACCTTCAGCAGGAGCCTTCGACATGTTTGGCCGCCGACCTGGCGAACAATTCCTTACTTGGAGGATCATGGGACTTAGTAACTAGGGTTATAAATAAGGTAACTATAGTAATCATCATGAATAAAATAACTACTATTAGGGGTTTATGGTTTAGGGTTACTAGGGTTATAAATAAGGTAACCATAATAAAAACCCCAGTTTGGGTACTTATAACCTTACTTGCTACGTCCCATGATCCTCCAAGTTACGTGGGGTTTGGGGTGTAGGGTTTCACACACACAGCTAGACAAGCAGGCGAGGATCCAAGTACCAGAACGACAAGCACATTGGCTACTCATAGCGTCATTGGCTAGAGTCATCTCAGACTTTATCCGAGGGTGTAGGGTTTAGGGTTCTGCATTAATACAGGGTTTCGACTCTCACAGCTTGGGGTTTCGGGGAGGGCTCCTTTCCTCATTCCTGAGAGCGAAATTCCTTTGCGCCGTAGCATTGTAGGGCTTACGGCCTAGGGCTTCAGGAAACTAGGGTACCCTGTTTGGGGCCCTTATGATCAGGATCCTGCTATAGAGGGCCCCTTTTTCCTGAAACTCCCAAAATGGCCAAGTTCGGGTCCCGTTAAAACCTTGCCAGCCCGTCCGATTGAGTCGCTCAGGCTCAGTGAAGACGAACCTAGCGAGCGATGCAATGTGGGGGCCTTCTAAATTGGAACCGGGTTTGGGTTGTATCAAATCTTTACAACTGCTACTAACTACGCAGGTCTCTACACAACTTCTAGTTTACTATAGATCCGAAAAGAGCGCGGGCCTGCGGACAACAGGGATGCTTCCAATAGCTCCAAGGACTGCTCGACTGGCAGCAAGTCCTGCGCGCGGGGTCGCTCAACATCTAGGGCGGAACCAAGGTCTGAGGACCCCATCGCAGCCCTAGTCCTGTTTTTCTTGCATCGCCGCCTCCTCAGGCGGGGCCTCGACCACAACAATCTCAACAGCAACAAAAGGCTTCCCAAATTCCAAGTGCACTGGATTCGGAAGGGCCCGGATAGAGGTTTACTGAGTTTATTGCTTTGCACTCCCAAAGGCACAACTGTTCAACTACTTCGGCGACTATGCTTGACTCCACTACCGATTCTGCTGAGTCATGCGAAGCAGCCTTCCATACTGACATCCGTGGGGATGCAGTGCATGTCGGGATCACTCTTGTTAGATTATTGCTGTCGATCCCAAGCGCTAAATCATACATCCGAAACTTCTGTACCCGAGATTCCCTCTGCCCGACCCTCTCCGAGACTGCGGCACAGGGGAGCTCATCGTCGGAGTCGTAGAGGCAGCTCGCCTCTTCCTTCAGCTCAGCAGATCCGACTCTTCACTCCTGTGCCTTCTCGCTCGCTCAAGGGCGCGGATTGCAACCAAGCGAGCACGGCGAATTTGCGTCATTTTTGGGGAGAGACTGCTGCACCTGCACTCGGGTGTCCACCTCCGCTAGCTAAGACCAGGACCTGAGTATCTAACCCTTTTGCCTAAACCCCTAAGCCCTAAACTAAACCGTCCTCTGGTTGCTCCACGGATGGCACCGATGGTACACATGGCGATTCGAGCAGGTCTTGAGTCCTCGCCGAGGAACCGTTTGCTCGTTCTTGTTAAAGAGTTATAAGTAATTAGTAAGCCCATGGGTTTAGGGTTTAGGATAATAAGTAAGCCCTAGGTGTAGTATCTAGTCTCTACTATACGCATAGATCCTTTCCGTTGTAGCTTACAAGCCGACTCCTGACATCTGAACATAACGCACGTGATCATGGCTTCTGCGCGTTCTTCGGAGTCGTCCTGCTCAATTCGGGTGGCGCCTGACTTGCACCAGCATCCACTTGCTTCCCTCTGTGCTTCGGGAAGGTTGGGTTTGGGGTTGAGGGTAAAAATTTGGCTTCAACAGAGCGAAATTGCAACATATTGCAACTGAACGGTCGCAAGGGGGCCGTGAGTTTATGGCTCCTGTAAACGTGGATTCTTTGCTTCTGGGTGCCGCTTCAGTCCACCGCTGCGGGAAACCGCCGTGTGCAATCTGAGCTCAAGGCTTCCGGAGGTTCGTCGACCGGATCTTCAGCAGAGGCAACTTTTGAAAAATCTAGGAAACGGCCTTCATGAACGCTGGAAGTGTAAATTTGATCTGACCCTTGGCGTGACGGCCTGCGGCATCAGCCTCCTCACCAGCCTCCCGTCAAGCGCCGCTATCCAGAAAGGAAGCAAGGCAGCCCTGGCTCGGCAATCACTGCTGCAAGAGTTCCGGGCATGAAAACGGCCTGTTCCACGAGACGGATTTGCAGATATTGTGGAGAGGGCGATGAAATAGCGAGGTGTAATCTCAGTACCCTCAGAGTGCTTGCCGTCAGCCTCGCTGCAGGCCTGGGGAGCTTCATCAGCACAAACCTCGGCATCTCAAATCTCTGGGCATCTGCAGCACTCCAGCCGCAATCCTGACCTGACTTTGTTTTAGGAGTTGCTGTATCAGACTGATTATACCTACTTCTATTCTGGCTTATGGCGCCTATCTACATTAAAAGCTGTTTTTACGTAGAAAGCGGCCCCTTTCTTTCTGGTACATGGCCTCGATTTACCCCACACCCCTTCTTTTGAGGAGGGGAACCGCTAAACCCTGAACCCTAAGATACTGCAAGGAAGTTGCCGCTGACTTCCGGCTTGCACTCTCCGGGCCTGGCGAAAGCAATGACTAGAAAGCTTTAGGGTTTGGGGTTTAGGGGGGGCTTTAGGGGTTACGGGGATGTGTTGTGCATCCCACCTAGCTAGGACACAGCAGGGTTTAGGGCTTTAGGGTTTTATTTAGGGTTTCGGGTTTATGCTCTCGCAACTGAGACTGCGAGGTCTCTTGGTGCGCGGGTCGAATGTGAAACAATTGACAGAGCTGCCCCGTTTAGGGTTTAGGAGTTTGGGATCTTTCCCTCTGCATGGCAGAGAACGAAGCTCACAGGAGTTTGGGGTTTGGGGGATCTTAAGGCAAAGCTGCAATCATGTGGGGGTTTCCGAAATTAGGGGACCCTAATTTAATACCCTAAATAATAGGATCCTTATTATAAGGACCCCAAAATAAGGTACCCCTTATTTTCTGAAACTCCCATGTGCTGCCTGAAGGTGAACGAAAGCATGCTCACTGCAAACGACAAGGTGAGCCAGCTGTACGTGGCGGCCGCGCACTGAACCTGCGGCCGTCATCGCCACCACGTGAGTGGCTTTAAGATTCTACGTGAGTGGCAGAAGCATTCTGTTGGCGACTCAGTTTGCAGATTCTTCACCTACTTCGTCTATTTACGTCTACCTCTCTGCGTATCTCTCTGCATTTGTGCATTACACGTTGCTGCCCCGCCGTGCTGTTGCACAACTAAGGTGATGCAACAGCAGTTGCTGGCCTCGGGGCCTTGTTCCGCAAATAAGAACGTCTGCGCCTACTGCAATATGTGCAGGGCTCCCAGCTGTCGTGGCTGCCGTCGAGGAGAAGCTTTGGTTTTCGGCAGCCTGGGTGCGTTCCGGAGGCCGTTTGGCACATTCACAGGTTGGAATCTGCACGCGGCGACTCACTGAGTTGAGCACTCAGTCTCTCCATGTGATGGAGGTACCTGTCCAAGGGCTAAGTCTTGAACAGCTTCGGCGTCGTCGGGTAGCACCAGCGATAAAGAAGACAGTAGTCTGAGTAGACAAACGGCGAAGTTAGAGACTAGTTCAGAATGTTCTCCACACTCCCGGGTGTCATTGCTTCACTGTGTTTGACCCTTGCCCTCCTTGCGTGCAGCCCCTGGCCTCTGCAGTCTTAGGCTCCAGCCTCGGCGAGCATTCGGGCTTCCAGCATTATTCGGCACTACATTCCGACACCATTTATGTTCTAGCGCATTCGAGCTGGTCCTAGTCGGACTGCCTCGCGTTTCAGGCTCTTTGCCTTCGTCGATCGATCCACAGCCAGCTCAGAAACGGCTGACTCCTAAAGCCTCAAAACCGAACGTCCTTTGGCACAGCAGGCGAACCACTGGCGAACCTCCTCGAACCGCCTCCACGCTGAAACGTTCTGGCCTGTCTTGGGCACTCAGGCTCGCGCTGAGCGGATCCCTCCACAAGCTGAGCACCCTCAGTTTTTCTCGTGCTGACAACCAGACAGGTGCAGAAAAGCATCAGAATGGCCATAGGCCATGGGCCGCACTTTATCACGCGCCGGCGCGAGACTCTGCACACCCCGAGCAAAACAGAGCCTGACCCCCATGAGCTGAGCGATGAGTGCCCGACACCGCCATAACCCGCCGAAGTCAGGAGCTTCTGTAGGCGAACCTCACGATCCTCAGGTCCACATCAAGTTCAGCATTGATCCATGCATGAGCCGTACAAGCCAAAATGCAGTTGGTAGACCTGAAGAGATATGACACTGACAGAACATGGGTGCCTTCGTGCTTGTCCGATCTCTAGTCTATGGCCGCATCAATTCCACAAGTTTTCCGCCTCATCATTCCCACGCCCGAACAGT